TGACATTTGGCAGGCACTGTATGCTGGGGGGAGGAATGTGTCCAGCGGCGACAGACGAAAGATTTCTCATATTTGAATGCCCATAAATAATAAATGCGAAGGAGACAAGAGATAAAGCCAAGAGTTATTGGCAATGTGGCATTCCTGGCTTTGTTTTTCACAAAGTTCAAAAATTGAATGATGGATCGACACACTTATTGACATTTATGACTGGATAATAATGAGGATTTAAGTGATGAATACTTTTGAGCAGCCAAGTCCCGGGGCTTGGCCTTAAATTTGGAGCTCCATGTAAGCCAGAAATCTTTCATGTTTTCGAGTGCGTGGCGTGGAGTGAAGAGCCCTGACAGCCAGCCAGATTGGGGCACGTTTCCATCTCTATGTGACCGCATTTGGCAATCGTTTTGGGTCCGAGCTGAGAGTACAGCTACAGCTACCAGATTGCAGTGAGAGGCGAAATAAATGTTTATAATTCAACAGAAATGCTTGGCAAAGGAAGCAGAAAGAAAGCAGCAGCAGCAGCAGCAGCAGCAGCAGCACCCACAATGGCTGCCGTTTACAGTTACACATACAGCTGTGCCTTTTTCATGTGTGTTTGGCGATTGTTGCGCTTTTTTTGTCGGATGAGGAAACATGGGAACTGCCTTATTGCCTGCCACAGGATGTGCCCGTGCCCTGCATTCGCCAGGACTCGTACTCGGACACGGACCACACTTAAGTGAATCGACTTTAAGTTGAAAATAAATTTCTGCCAGACATAGCCCCTCACAGAGATCGCCCCACACCGATATGGAAGCAAGCCACTTGGGAATGCAAATGAAAGTGGGGTCGGGGGCTGGCTGGGTGTCCGTTCTGACAGCCCTGTTTCGGATAAGAAATTTTTTGTGTACTTCCCTGACGTAAGTCCGCAATACACCCGCTGGCAATATGCTGGGCACCAGCACCAGGACCGGGACTGGGGACACATAAAAACCAGAAAATAGAGACTAGAACATGGCTCCATCTTCCGTCATTGCGGCGCACGGCATGGCCGGAGAGATGGCGCTCAGCTTTAAAAACTGTTGACAGCAGGAGAACCAGCAGCAGCAGCAGCAGCAGCAGCATCAGCACGAGAAGCATGTCCAGCATCGGAGGGAATCCGCTAAGCTGATTTGTTTAAGCGCAGAGCAACACAACACAACACCACACAAAGCGCGAAGCGTGAAGCTTTCCACTCAATGAAAGTTGCCGGAGTAGCAACAAGGAGCACGCGGTGTCAATGACTTTGCGTCCTGGTCGTGGTTCCTCCCGCTCTTGGCTAATCAAACTGGACAGGGGTGACGGCATCGGCCCCCCCAAGCAAAAGCGCTTAAGTCAATTTGATTTTGGCTCAGAGAGCGTGCAAGACAAGAGACGAAACGACAGGACAGGACACGACAGGAGAGGCAAGTAGAGAGGGCACAGCAGGATGGTACAGACTAGGGGCAAGACAACAAAGTTCAGCTGTCCGGGCGCGTGTTTCCGCTTAAAAGTTTTCTGTTCTCGCAACTGATGTCGTCAGCAAAAGATTCGACAGAAATCCTGAACGTAGCACTGCCGACTGTGGACTGTGGCAGCAGCTAATTGAGATTTAATGACGATGACAATTTGATAAGAGGATTTGCCGCATTGTTCAGACCGCCCCAAAAACAGCAATCGCAGCCACCATTACCCGCCCCCTGATTCTGAATTGCTCCCCAAATCGAATCAGCCACTGCGATGCGATCCGATGCGATTTGGTGCGAAGACAATGCAATCCACATGAGCATTTTACGGCACAGTGAACAAAAAGAAATCTTCTATAAAGAGTCACAGCCAGAGTCAGGCAACAGGAGCAGGAGGAGCAGAAAGATGCAGGGAGCAGTTGCTAGCAGTCGCCACATCCAAGGCGCCACAGCCACAGTCACCAGACAATGGCTGTAAAATAACTGGAAAAATTGGACATGAATTGAAATAAAAGCGATTGCAATTGTAATTGAAATTGAAAACCCGAGAAATTTTGGTGTTGCTGATTCTGTCATCAAAGGGAATTCAATTTGAGCGAAATTCGTGGAAGAAAAATCTTTCCTGCTAACTGAAATTTTATTGATTGTACAAAGTACTCAAAAGCATTTGATTCGCAGAAAGAGAATTTACACAACTACTATAACAAGAAAGGGGCTTAAAATATCTAGCTCCCCCTTCAATGCCTGCAATAAAAATAAAAGCCCAGAACCAACAATTAATGTGACTCCATTAGTTTGACTTTTCACCACTAAAATGGCCACGCAATTTCCGTTCAGAGGTCAGTCGAACTGTCAATAGTATCATACTCGCATTTTCATATGATTATGATTCATGGAGAGCAAAAGGCATCAGCAGCAGCAGCAGTAGCAGACCAAGAGGCTTTACTGTACAGAAGAAACTTCCATAAATTTGACTTTTCACCTTTTCAATTTCTCGACTTTTTCCAAACCGTTTTTATGTAAAGGGAAGGGGATATTAGAACTGTCAATAGCATTATATTTTCTTTCATTTACTCAAATTCTGTTGGTTTTTATTGAGATTTAGGCCAACTCGGCTACCACGCTTTCCCCCGAGAGGTTTTGGGCTTTGATGTGGGTTGGTTGCGAGTGAGCCCTCGCATATATTTGTAATTATTATTGGCATTTTAAAGAACGAACCCAAATATTCTGCCCCGTTCTTCCCCCTCTGTTTATGCTGCTTGAACGCTTCGTTTTGACCCTTTTTTTGTGTGGCCTCATGATAGCGGTCAAAAGCGCTTTTCTCTGTGTCAAATGAGTTCTGATAAAAACAGCAAATAAAAATAAAATTTGTTCAACCATCAAAGAGCGTACCAAATGGTTTGTTTTGGCCCCAAACTGTTTCGTTGTCTGTCACATTCGCGCTTTCAATTAATGCGACAAATGTGTTTGTCTTTTGTGATGTTTTTTTTTTCTTTTTCATTTTCCCACAAGTTCTCTGGTTCTTTTTTTTGGTCCTTCCATACATGACAATACGTGACTGGCCCACGCCCTCGTCCTCTAGAGAGTCCAATGACTTTTCTAAAGTGGCTTTGTTATGCCATTTTAAAGCGGGTCTTAGGGACAAACTTGGACAGCGTGCGAATCAATTAATACGAGTTTGTTTGGCTGCGATGGGCGAGCCAAGCGAATGCCGATAAGCCAGCTTCAGCTTCAGCTTCAACTGCCACACCACACACCAAACACTAGTGTAAGCGGGCGATATGGACCACTTTGAAATATTTAATGTCCACAAACTGTCATAAACTGAAAATGCACAGTAAAAGCCATAAGCACAGCGGGGAATGGGTTCAGATGGATGCGGAACGGAACGACTACGGGGGGATGTGGTGGTGGAGCCAGCTAAAGCTGTCAGCCTCAAGAATTGAAGTTCGACAGGCTCCTACTTGGAGCTGTTCTTGGGGACTGCGTGCTGTGTGTGTGAAAATACACTGAGCGAAAAAAGGGTGCGGGACGGCAGTTGCAGTTTTTCTTTTACTCTTCAGACAAAAGAGGCTTAAGAAAAGTCGAATGCGCGTACTTTTCCAAAATTCGTTGTACAGTGGCGGAAATAATTATCTTTAAATTATTAATTCAAACACAAAGTTTTAGCATAAGTTTTTACAAGTCCTTGGGATGCTCGACCAAAAATAAAAACAAAAAATTTTTGGGAAAGTGTAGAGGAGACGACCGCAGGCTGTAAGCGATTCGAACATACAGATATACATACATATATATCTTTATATGTATATATATACAGCCACACAAAAAGTCATACACATGAATAACCCGTTGGTCCTTGCTTGGTAACCGACATATCATCGCACATTCTGAGGGCTGGTTGTAGGGGTGTCCACAGTCCTCCACAGTTCTCTCGGTAGGCGGGGTGGGGCGGGGACGAGGCTGTCATTTTCCTGCGCCTGCAGCTTTCATTAGTTCAGCGTCAATGTTGTGTTTTGTGTCTTCGCCTTGGTCCGGGTCCCGGTCCTGGATCCTGGCTCTGACGCTGGTTCCACGCTACCATTTGTGTGTCTCTTATTTGCTCTCCTGTCCCGATGGTTTGATTTTCTTTTTTTTAATTTTAAACGCATGTTGTCCTCTGTTGCTGCTGTCTTTTGTCTGTCTGTCTGTCTGTGTGGCTTTCCTGCCACCTGTCTGTGTGGAAGCTGTGTGTGGCAACATGCTGCTGATTAAATGACAGGTTCAAGCTGCAGGTGTCCTGCATTAGAAATACTCGTACCAGCACCCGCTGGGCTGGGTCTGTAACTAACGAAATGCAAATTAAAATTGCTTTCTCGTGTTTTGTGTGTAAAATGGCAAATGAAATGCAGTTCCGTGAACCCATCAATTCCATTACATGGTGAATAGAAATCAGAGCGTCCTTAAAGTAATCTTCTAAACTTTAATATGCCCCAAGAAACCCCAGAACGTGCCCCTTGGCTGGGAAGTACTTGCCACATTCTGCCATTCCGTGCGGAAGTTTGCCCCAAAATTGCGCCTATTGCCCGGCAGGCCAAAAATATACACAAAGCAGCAGCCAGCAGCCAGCAACGCAGCTGATGGCCATCCATGGCAACAACTCCTGGCCAGTCCAGTCGTATGCAAACTTTATTAATTACGCGCCCCAATAACCAAGAAGACCAGAAACCAGTGTTGTGGAGTTTCCCGCGAAACTTTTGCCGTTCCGTTTACTATTTTTTTCCAATTGGAATTCGTCTACTTCCTAACCATTTTCCACATGCAATTTGCCCCAAGAGCGAAAATCAAACAGAACAACTTTTTATTTTAATTAAAAATTCAGCACTTTTCATCTGGAGCATTATGGACATGGCAGCACGTGGCAATAACAACGGAAAACAGAAAATTAAATGCTTTAGAAATTCAGGGGATAAATGCAGTTGAGTTGCAAAAAAAAAAACAACGTACCCATAATAAAATTTAAATACATTCATAAAATCAGGTTGGCAGCCCTCTCTCACTGCAACCCTGTTTCCTTTAAGCGTCGCGTCACATGGAAAATTTATTCAATTGTATCGGAAATTAGAATTCAACTCAAGTAAAAGCTGCATTAAATTCTGGTAAGCTGAGCTGACCTGAGACATGGCACCTTTGCGGGCCCACTAACTAATTAAAGGTTTTTCGAAGCTGTCATTTGGAAATGCAAAATAATTCACAAACCAATACGCAAAGGACACAGGAAAGCCCCGTAACACCCAGTGAGTTGACGCCGCCACAGCTAACGGAGATCGGTTTGCTCACCACCACGAGAATGTCCAAGTTGCAGCAGTTGGCAAAGTTGCGGACGGGCAACCACAATGACGAGCTCTTTGTGAAGCGGCCCACATTCAGCAAGCGTGGCGCAGCCAGCGTGAAGCCAGCCGCCTCGCAGTTGGGGGGTGAATGCCTGCCAACCGTCGACCTGGTGGAGGAGGAGAACATTCGCACCATTCGCACCCAAGTGGGGGCGTTGGAGCAACGCTTCACGCACTTCATGAATGGATTGAGAGCGCAGCGCTGGATGTGGAGCGAGTTTGCCCTGTCGTTTATCGACGAGCCCATTGCGGCCAGTGTGTGCTACGATCTGGACAGGTTCATGAAGGACCTTGGTTGCATGATTACGACCCGGACCATGCCACGCCGCTGCTGGCAGATGGTGCGCAATCCGATTGGCAAGCCGCGCCGCTTCTCGCGGGCCTTCATTGCCTCGGATGGGGGCGACTGGCAGAAAGTACGTGACCTTGTGCGGCAGATGCAGCAGGGCACATTCGATATAAAGCAGCACGAGACCAACTTGCCGCTCCTGCCCAGTCGCATACCGATGCCGCTGCCGATGGACGCCAGGGTGACCGCCTTTCTGCCGAACGGATTCGGGCACGGTGTCGTTGTCAGCCACGAGCCCAAGGACAACACATATCTGGTGCGGCTGAACATTGGGGCCGAGAAGAGTTGGCTGCACTTGATCGACACCCAACTGCAGGGGGAAATGGGCTGCGAGAGTCTGCCGCTGTCCATTATGATGGCCGTCACCGACGAACCTGAGCCCGAGGAAGTTGTCTACAAGCCGGAGGAAAAGGCGGCCACCTTCTCGAGTGCCGGCTACAGCCAAACGCTGCTGGAGTCCGTGGTGACGGTCAAGAATCTCCTGAGCATAAAGGACAAGACTGTCCGCGACTTTACCGCCCTGAACAAAGACTTTGAGAGTCTCTCGACTCAGTCGTCGAGTCGCCGCGATCCGAAGGCGGAGCGCGAGCAGCAGCAGCGTCGTTTCGCGGCCCACATGATCACTTTGCATCGCGTCAACGATGATATGCTGGAGCCGTTGCGTGTCCTGCATCAGTATCTGGACGAGTACAAGGACGTGGAGGATCAGAAGGCCAAGACGCTGTCGGCACGCGAACGCTTTCAGCAGTGCCGCCTGCAGGCCGACTTAGATCTGAAGGCGGTCGAGACTCAGCTGGGGCTCGTGGTCAAAGCGGATGCCACACGGGACTTGATTCGCACCCTCCACACGATCCTGTATCTGTGCGGCGCATTGAGCGGGGAAAACAGCTCCGACATTCGCACCATTATCAATGACATTGTGGCCAGCACAATGGAGAATCTGCCGCCCGTTCTGTGTGCCCAGTTCAAGCAGATGATCTTCAAGATTACACCGCTGTGCGAGTCCTTTGGACGCGTGCCAAAGCAGCCACAAGAGGAAGAAGATGCACAGCCAATGTATGCCAACGATTATGAAATGGTTGAGGAAAATTATCGATCCTATCAGCACCAGGGCCAACAGGAAACCTTTGTACAGCGCAACGCCCAAATGCCTTCCCAGCAGGACGTTGGCGTCTTTGAGGACATGATGGAGCCACTGCTGCACAATCTATTGGAGGAGTAGAGAGAGCGTAACAGTGTTCCCAGTAGTGCGCAATAAAGCCCTGCCATAATTTATGGCATAACTAGAAGCAGTGCCCAGTGCCGCCCTGTCTTTTGGAGGAGTTTAGTGCCATTTAAAGTCTGTCCTGTACACTTTGCAATACTCCCCCAAAGTATACATATATCGATCTGTGTGGGGATGGGGGTTCCAGCACATTTCTCACGTAGCCTGCCCCTAAAATAGAAGGTGCCTCAGCAATTGACAGATTGGCCAACAAATAACTGACTTAAGTGGGTTCCAGAGTAGGTTTTAGGCTAGCTGGCGCGGCTTGAGGCTCTCCTCAGTGCCAGCCTTAAGGAATATTTCAATTTGGATATTTTCGGAAGCATTCCCAACTGAAGCAGGCAGCTCCATTGGGCACTCAGCCTCAGCCCCAGGCTCAGCTGCATGCACATAAATTCGAGTTTAAAGTGTTTTCTTTTCTAGTTTTTAATTAGCAGATAGATGAGTGCTGGGCGCTCGTAAATTGTGTGGCCAAGTGCGTGCGCTTGCCATTTGTTGGGTCCGTAAAGACATCATTAATATGCCTCCAGCTTTCCCGCCTCGCCTTGGCAACGAAAGAAAAATGATCGGGCAAAAGACCTGACAAACAATGTGTGCTGTGGGTGGACACTGGCCATTTGGCTTTCACATGAGCCACTGCGAGGCGCCCTGGATAGTGTCCACTGCTTGGGGTGCGGATTTTGCTTGAGATTGGCAACTCGTAAATATTTATAATGCATTGCAGATGCAGGGGCGTCGCCGTTGAAGCAACTCCTACAGAACTTTTCGCACAGGACAAACAAAAATCTAACAAATGGCAGCAAATAAATTGCTGGGTCCACTGCTGCCCAGGAGGACATCTCTATCTGTGTGGCTTTTGGGTGAAGTGGCCACAGATACTCGTTGTATTTACTCAGAGGGCCACGCGTGCTAAATGGTTAACAATATGCCGCGCCCGCTCCCCACACAATGCATTCGAGATGACTTAAGTTTTTTGTTTGGTTGACACTTGATCATTAATTATATTTGCGCGTGGCGGGGCATCGTTTGTGCGGAATTGAATCGATACATAACTACTTAAGTACACATACATATATAATGCGAGTAGTATATGTATACATAGCCATAGCCATAGCCCTGAAAGCAATCATATAAAAACGCCAACTTAATTGATTAACGATGGGGGCTGTGCCGCAGAAGTTGCCGCCGCTGGCATGGTATGGCGGTATGGCCTACATGGCTTACTATAATCCAAATAGCAAAGAAACTTTTGTTCCCCCTCCACCTCCACCAGCACCATTTGCTTTATTAAATTGTCATCTTTGGTGGGCGTTGGTCCTTGCTGGCATTTGGTCCCCTGGTTAAGTCATACAAAATGTCGGAATTGGGTCAGAAAGTGCGCGGCTGCCTGCTGATTAAACTGGGGAGAGTGGGCGTACCCGTGTTTGCCAGCTCCTTTATCCTGTCTTCTGTCTTATGTCTCCGCTGCTGTGTTGCCATGGGTCGAAGCATTTATCACGCTGATTTCTGCGAATGTTACACTCAATGGCCAGGGTGCAATACGCTGATCGACGAGGATGATACCTGGTATTGGATAATAAAGGAAAGTAACTCAGATCGGATCATTATTATAGCCAGAGTAGCCCCCACCTCCTCCAGCAAGAGACCACGCCACTCATTCTCTTTCCCGCTCGCACACACTCTGCCCTGTGCAATGCACGAGCGCCTTCTAGCGGAGAAGATGTAGAATATACATATGTAGATAACAGATGTAGCAAAATATTTTAAAATTCTACATAAATCACAAGCTCACAAATTTATATAATGACTGAGTACCGGTATAAAAGTAGAGTCGCGTCCACAGAAGCGACTCACACGTTCCTTCTCTTTTGGTACATTATCTCATGGCTATGGAATATGCGAAGGTTTATAGAACGCCTTCTTGGGTCGTCGAGTGCTTTTGCTTTTAATTTATACTCGTAATTGCCAACGTGTTACCCATTTGGTGTTGCATATTAAATATAAAATTGATATTCTCATCGCCTGCCTGTAGGACTAAAGGGCACTGATACTGAAGCATTTTGTGTGCCTGTAAATCAAGGCGCGTGTGTGCGTGTGGGCGTATGGGCGTATGGATTGGCTTGTGTGTTGTCCTGTGTATTGGTGTGTGGAAGATGATTTATGAAACGGGCAGCAGTTTGCGGCGGCTGACGCCGGACACCGCCGGACAGTGGCATACAAATGCAAATGTGCAACAAAAAGTGGGTGCCACAGCAAACAATTGAAGGGTAAAATAGCCGGGGCACAGCCGGCGGGCATTGATGGCACAAAGCGGAAATAATGGCTTGAGTTTGGTTTGGTTTTGGTTTTGGTTACGTTGTCGCTTACGTTATAAATTACAATCAATGATTGAATTTGCGTGTTGCGGCTGGCGCTGCTTAAATTATTCTTGAAATATATCACAAATACACACGTAATACGTGTCACGTATGTATGTGTGTGTGTGTGTTTTTTGCATGTTCTGGCGAAAGAATTGTATTAAATATTTAACTTTAGCTGAGCATTCCTGACACACAATTAGGCGGCTGCAATGCTTCAAGGCCTCAAGCTTTCAAGCTGTCTGTTGCCTGTCCGTCCATCAGCTGTAAACGGGTTACAGGACACGATATGTCAGGGAGGATACTCCGTCTGGAATTGTATCAGAAAATGGATTGCTTCTATATTTAACTAAATTTCCAAGCGAAATGAAAACCCTGCAATGCTTTCAGTATTTTTTTAGTACATTAAACATGGCTTACTACACAGAGAGAGAGAGAGAGAGAGAGAGAGAGATAGGAAGAGAGAGAGAGAGTGGCACAAACAATTTCCAACAATCGCAACGCCTTCAGTGGATATGCAAAACGTTTATTTATTCAACTGCCATGTGGCTGGCCGGTGCCCCAACCAACCAGCCTTGGGACTTTTGCTGTCTGCACTGCATAAAAGCAAACATACATTTATACATAACATATACATATACATACATATTGTATGTATCTTTATATCTGTTCAAATCTTGCATCTACCAAATGAGTTTTTGGGGGACATTTTCAGACACAAATTATAATGTGCTATAATTTGGTTTAATGTACGCACATTGAAACCCCAACCGCCGAACAACAACAACAACAGCAAAAGGCCTTTATTGCCCCCCAAGGCTCCTGCGCTGCCTGCTGTTGCTGCTGCCCCTGCTGCTGCTGTTATGTGGCATTGGTCATACGCAGCGTGAGCCGGAAGCGGGGCCATGGGCCAATGCTAGGGCCTTGGCCGGTAAGGGAATCCTCCTCACGATAAGCTTGTGCATGCTATCTGCCATTTATGTACATATGATGCGGTCGACCAAGGTGCCACTGTACTGATTGTTGTCTCTGCAGCTTAAATTTTGGAATATTTTAAAGATATTCCAAGCTTAACCATGTTCATATTGCATAGTCCTCCTTAAGTGACTCTTAAAACCCGGAATCCTGTTCCACTTATGGCCCCTAATGGCCTGTGTATCTGTGGCTGAAGAACAATCAGAGGCCTCTTGCAAGTATCCTTTTGGCTTGCATAACCACTCAAAATCGAAGAGTCCTGCTCGTGTTTCGTTGCAGGTTAAACTAGTAATCGTTGTGTCATGCCCGTAGCCTGTATTTATGGAAATCTGCCTGGAATGCTTGCTTATACTTTGGGGTGTGGTGGGGTGGGGGGCATGCTTGTGATTCATGCAACAACAAAACGTTTCAACTGTGCTAAGCATTGGGGCTAAGCCTGTGATATGCAACTCTAAAGCTGCCTTTCTAGACCCTACTTTTTGTGCCCTCTTGCCGCCTTGCCGCATAATGCTTGCTGCCCATCAGTCAGCACTCGGAGAGATTATGCCACTGGGAACAGAGTGTGTAGGGGGTAGAAAGAAAGAGAAATCTGCAGGAAAAAAGCCAATCTAATCTTCCAACCAGGGTGGCTAATGGTCGAGGCTTGCTCCACACAAAAACCCAGAGAATAGCACAGGGGAATGGGCAATACATTTTCCACAAATAATTGCGCCTTGTGACCGAAGCAGCAGATGATGCTATCGGGGGGATGATTTATTTGCAGATATCGGATAATTTAAAGTTGCCACCATGCCACCAGATAATGTCCTAAAGAGAGAGAGAGAGGAGAGAAAAACCCAGCAACATGATTTAAGCAACTGTCGATGCCCCGAGATGCCCCTCCGGGCTGCTGTCACTAGTTCCCCCGTTCGCACAGCAGAGTGGATTGTGGCAGCCACTGATTAGCATATAAATCAAGTGGATTTGAGCCTTCTTTCTGCGAAGACCTGACCTGACCGTCTCGAGGTATTAATTAGGGGCAAAACAACAGCACCCCAGGCCACAGAGGGAGGTCAAGAAATTAACTTTCGTCTCGTAAACTTAATAAAAAAGTTTCAGTTTCGGTTTCGGTTTTTCGGTTCGTTTTCCGTTTTTTTTTTTTTTTTTTTTTTTTTTTTGGTATTTTGTGTGTGTTTCTGCTGGTTTGGGGATTAGAAAAAAGTTTGGCCAAACTTTGTGCTTAAAATTCCATTTCCATTTGGCTACTTGTATTGCTCTCGATGCCTAGTCGTCGAGTGGCATTTGCTTGTTTGTTGTTGCTTCCCTTCCACAGTTCTTTTGTTTCAGGCTTGAGAATGCAGTCCATGTGGATTTGCTTTGCGCCATCCCATCCCATGCCATGCCATCCATCAATGTGTGCCCCACTCGAATAAATTGAGAGCCTGGGAAAATGGAAAAAAAATTGTAAAGCGTTTTCCACTTGGGGAAATTGAGTTAGGCTGCCCCCCTACCCAAACACGTGCCACACATACATAGGTAGAAGGAGAGGCAGGAAATGCCTAGACATTTTTCACAGGGGACAGGCATTTCAAAGGGGCGCTGTGAGTAGTAATTATAAAGGACTTGTTACCCTTTTGTGCAGACTTTGATTTGAAATTTAATGCCAGCTAATAATTGAAGACTGGAAGCCAGGATCGTTTCACCAATCTATGAATTTCATTTATATTCGATTTATGGAGAGTCCAAGTTTATATTTTCCTCTCACACAAATTACCATATCAGAGGGCGGAAATCGCGTGTTGCTGGTCTGGCAAAAGACAGAACTTCCTCTTTGGCTTTTTGCCTTTGGCCTGGAGGCAGCAGCAGCAGCTTATCCCAGCACGGTCTCTGGAGCTTCGCTCCGCTCCCTCCTGCTTGTTGGCCAATTTGCGTTGATTTTTTTGTCTTTTTTAGAGCAGTGACTTTCGGGGGGGGGAAGAAGATTTTGACCGTGGGCCATTCAACAGAAATCCGTTAAATTGCGGCAGATTTCAAAGCCAAATAGCTGGCGGGTGAATGAGATTTAATGAATTTATGTCAAGGTGGCGGCTACAGACCAGACCCTACTCCCAGCTATGGCTCGACTGGTGGCTCTACCGCAGGCCAAGTGTCGGATTTGGTCCGCGAAGGCGACAGTGGCCTGTCAACAATAAAGCCCGAATGCCATTTTAATTGGCGCATCGGGCGTTGTCTGCTGACAAATACCAAATACCCCGTCCCCCCACCTCGCGCCTGATAGAACTAGCTAAGCAGCTCCCACGGGAATGGCTACAGGAGGTGGAGAGGGGGTTGCAGCTCGCTAAATTTGGCCTTTTCTCGTTGCGCGCAATTAAAAGTTGTCCGCGAACTGAACCACGGAACCGCAGCCAGGTCCTCCCGGTCTTGGCCAAAAGTAGCAAAATGCGCAAAAGTTTTTGTGCATAAAATGCATCGGAAACGTCGGCAGTCCTGGGGAGCCATCGGCGACAGTTTAAAAGTCAGGGGTCCGTCCTGGTAAAAACTTTCAATCCAACTTTGGCTTTGTCTGCTTGAAAGAGCCAAAAGGACTCTCGGCGGCAGATTCCCAAGCTACAAGCATGCCCTGAACTTAGAGCTACAAAAGATTGAGCTCACATCGATTAGGATTCGTTTATGCCAGCACACATAAGGATCGACAATGAACTTTGCACTAACACGCAGAGTACTGCGGATGGGCGGCGGTGAGGTGCTGACGCCCAACAAATTCAATGTCCGCCAATTGCTAAACACCTTCGACACGATCGTCTACGCAGCGGACGGAGTGCTGTGGCGCCACGAGCAAGCACTCAAGGGAGCTGCCGATACGTTCAACGCGCTAAGGGGCATGGGCAAGAACGCCTTCATCTGCACAAATAACTCGGCGGCCTCGTGTCTGGCCCTGAGCAGGAAGGCCAATCAGCTGGGCTTCATGGTGGCCGAGAACGAGATCCTCTCGTCCGCACAGGCACTCGCACGCTTCATGAGGGAGCGCAAATTCCAGCGTAAAGTCTACATTGTGGGTGGGCAGGGCATCAAGGATGAGCTGAGGCTGGTGGGCATCGAGAGTCTGCCGCTGGACCTGGCCTCCATGCAGGAGAACTCGATGGTGGAGCAGGTACAGAAAATGTATTTCGATGCGAATGTGGGCGCTGTCGCCGTTGGCATGGACAAGGATCTGAATGTGGTGAAGCTGACCAAGGCCAGCATTTATCTTAGGGATAGCAAGACCCTCTTTGTGGCCACCAATCGTGATCGTGCCTTTCCCGTGGCTGCCGATCGACATGTGCCCGGTGCGGGCGTCATGGTGGCTGCCATTCAGGCGGTGGCCAAACGTTCGCCCTTCACCTGCGGCAAGCCCAGTCCCTATGTCTGCTCCCATCTGATGCGTCAGGGTGTCATACAGCCAGAACGCACTCTAATGGTGGGCGATACGTAAGTTTCATCCGCCTCCTGCCCAGATTTCCACTTCCACTTCCACTTCATTTTCATGCATTTCCACAGCATGTACACGGATATGCAGTTTGGCTATAACTGCGGCTTTCGCACTCTACTGGTGGGCACTGGCGTCAGCAGTCTGAAGGATGTGCGCAATGCCCAGGCCTCCAAGCAGGCAATGGCCTACCAGCAGATACCAGATTTGTATCTGCCAAGGCTGTCCGACTTGTTGCCCTACCTACCCTCTCGCAATCGATAGGGCCCACAGTGCGGACACTGCATAGAGCGATAGATTCATGTTTTCTTTATTACATTTTCCCCCTACACTACATTTCAGTACTTCATTTACTTCATACTCTTTAATGAAAGCGAATCACTAAACACACAAAGGGAGCGACTGTCTGGATGCTCTGGCTGTAGTACTTTTGGTTCCCCTACATTAATTTATGTACCTATCATTGTTTAATAATTAAATTTATGTGACACTGAAGAGGCTTCCAAATCACATAGTTAGCACCTCTTTCGAGGATGCTGAGTGGGGTACTGCACGCCGCTGACTTATATTATTTCTTGGTGCTGCGCTTGCGCTTTGTTGGCTATATTGGGAGTATATCTGGGTGGGAATTCGCTTTTAATTTCAATCGCTGGCTCTGCTTTTTGTATCCGTTAAGCGCTGTTTAGATCTGGCAGCAGATTATCGCAAATTAGGAAATTATTCGCACAATTTCGAGGTATTTGTTTGGTTTTTTTTTAGGCTGCTTTTACCCAGCTATTTTTGTGTATAAATCACCATCTAGTACTTACGCAGTGCAATGTCAAGTGTTTCCCTTTAGGCACACAAAATACAAGTATTATAATTATTGTTTGAATTCGGAGCCATGTTCAAGCGGAGCTGCACCGATCTGACCAAAATACCCAAAGAGCAGGTGCGCCAGTGGCTGTCCACCATTGAATCGGTAATCTTCGATGCGGACGGTGTGCTGTGGCACTTGAACCGACCCGTCGATGGGTCGGTGGAGACATTTAATATGCTAAAGTCCTCGGGCCGAAAGACCTTTGTGGCGACCAATCATTCGGGTTTTCTTACCAAGGATCTGGCGGCGAAGGCAACGAAGTTTGGCTTCGATACAGAGGAGGAGCAAATGCTGAGCTCCGCACTGTCTGTGGCCAAGTTCCTAAGCTCGAAGGGGTTCAAGAAGAAGGCCTATGTGGTCGGGGAGTCTGCCATTGTCGGTGAGCTGGCCAAGGAGAATATCTGCAGCTTTTGTTTGGGCAAGGAGAAGCTGGTGAAGCCCATGGATCAGTTTGCCAGGGATATGGAGCTGGATCCGGAGGTGGGTGCCGTGATAATCGGCAAGGATGAGGGCTTCAATGTGCCCAAGCTAATACGCGCCAGCTCCTACCTGCAGGATCCAAATGTTCTCTTTCTGGGCACCTGTCTGGATACCGCCTATCCCGTGGCCAAAGACCGTATTATTGTGGGTGCCGGTGCCATGGTGGCTGCCGTGAAGGCCATCTCTGGCCGCAAGCCACTCATTTTGGGCAAACCGAATCCCTGGATGATCGATCAGCTGCTGCAGTGCGGCATCCTCAAGCCAGAGTCCACGCTGATGGTGGGCGATACGTGAGTGCCAGATCCCAGCTATATTTTATTCCTATCTAACTTCAATCCTATGCAGTCTCTATACGGATATACTGTTTGCCAGCAATTGCGGCTTCCAATCGCTTTTGGTGGGCACCGGCGTCAGCAGCCTGAAAGATGTGCGCCAGATACGCAACGGTGAAGAGCAAAACAAAATTGAAATGCTGCCCGACACCTATTTGCCCTCGCTGGGCCACTTGCAGGAGTTTCTTTGCTAAGTGCAGAAATTCCACAGCTGTTCGAATAAATTCAGGACAAGTCCAACGCATGTACCCCAGAGGCTTCTCTTTTGCTTGCTATTTGTTTGTATCTGTATTGTATTTGATCAATACTGATGACTGATTTAACTGTTATTTTTGACACATGCTGACACCTACGTACACAAATATCTTGCCATTATTATCCCAAAATAAACACACAAAATATACAAATTAAGTGTCTGCATTCAAGTCCAGGAATGGATGCCACTGTCTCCGTCTCCTGCAACATAGGTGAGCGTTGCGTGTGTCCTGTAGCCAGTCCCCTCCTGTATGGATATTTCTTTGGATGCCTTTTAGCTTAACGTCTGCCCCCAAGGAGTGGAGCATGTGCTCCGTCGTTTAACAGAAACAACCATTGAACCAGAACGGAATGCTGAATGGTAAAATGTCCAAATATAGAAAGCGAAATCACCGAAGAGTAGTCGGCACCGGCGGCAGCGGCAGCGGCGGCAGTCTCAGCCTCGCTCTGGCGTCTTTACTGCTATTTGTGCTGTGGTTGCAGCTATGTGCCGCCCGGAAAATGCGCCTCAAAAGGGAAGCCAACGCCCATCAACCATTGTGGCGCCGTGGCTATGACGGCGATGGCACCACACACGAACAGTTGGGGAAGGTGCACTTTCCGCCCGTTAAGTACTCCCAGTTCAAGCCGATGGTTAACTATACGAAGAGAGACAATGCCACCAGAGCGTTGGATGGCCTTTTAAAATTTTCTCGCACCTTTTACGAACAAATCTTTCCAGTGGATCCGAACATACCCAGAGGTGAGAGAGCATCCAAAACTATTGATTTTGTGGTGAATATTTTACATTGGATCTGTTGCCAGGCTACCTGCAGTTTGTGGGCACGGATCAGATGAGAATGGGACCGAAGGTGGATAGGAACGATTGGGCGTCTTGGCTATCCGAATACTGGATGTTGTGGCTGTGGGTGCTCTTCCTCGTTGGCCTCATTGTCCTGATACCCTTTCTAGGGTGAGTAGATCACGTTGCGTTCTCCTGGCAAGACCATTAATGTGTAATTAGTTCATTTTGCTCGCTGGATGATGGATGATCAGTGTCCTGTACTGCTGTCTATGCTGCTGTCGCTGCAAGGAAGGATGTACGCCCTGCATTACGGTTGAAAATCGCCGGAGACGCTATATCTGGGGCGCATTTCTGGCTCTTCTCATTATATTGATCGGGTAGGTAATGCCACAACGTCCCCCAGAAATACGGCATATCTGGATACTCTTCCTCTTGTTTCTCTATGCTTCACTCAGCTTGTGCATGGCCCTCGCTTTCTACTCGAATGGCTTGCTGGAACGTGGCCTGGAAAAGACCAAGACAACAATGGAAAAGGGCAGCGTGGATACTTGCAATTTCCTGTATGATGTCGAGGCACATGTCAATCATTTGTTTGTCAAAAATTGGGAGGAACTGGAGACGCATCTCATCTCCATAATCATGAGTATAATCGCATTGCACTTAGTTATTCGATTTACACACCACTCAATCTCCATTTATATGTACAACAGATGCACCCAGGCATATGGCCGCCGACTTGAACGATGCCTCGGACGCCAATTCCCTTGTGGAATTGAATCGGATATTTTCCAATTTGGAGTATACAATAGCATATCTCGATGTGGCCGTTAACTACGAACTGGAGATCAGAGTCAATGCCCAGCGACTAAGGGATGGTATGGCTTGGATTACTGCGCCAGAGTAGACCCTTCGATTAGCTTTGCACATTTTACAGCTCTGCGGGGAGTGAAGCGCGACGTTAACTTTGCGGCAACGGTGCTTTGTGGCAGTATGGAGTGCATCAAATTTCTGGGTCACTCCGAAATTGAATTTATCGACACATCCAGATGCTTGCATCCGGAAAAGGTGTGTGTGTGTCTGTGTGCCTGCTATAAAAATTTAAATTTAATTTGCATTCGATTCAATTTAGATGCCAATTATTACTAGCATACTGGACAGCATGAAGGAACTACTCGACGATGTGCATAGACCCGCAGAGTCGCTAGAACGGCTGCATAATATAACTGTATTGATCACGGAGGAAATGGAGCGCGTTGCCGAACCCATGATCCGGGATATACGCAAGGGCAAGAAGCTGTTTGCCCAGCAGGCGGTGCGCATCAATGAAATCATCGATGTGGTCATCAGTGACATCCATTTGGCCACACTGCGTTCAACGAGGGCATTCGACGATCTCTACGACAAGTTCAATGAGACACGTTACTATGTCGTGCTGTACATCTCAGTGTCGGTGATTGTGGTAGGAACTGTGCCGTGCCTGTACTGTGCAACCCAAACCCCTCACGTAACTGAGCCTTCCCTCCCCCTTGTCCTAGATACTCGCTATACTGATTTTCGCTTTGATCTTTGGCTCCTTTGGCAAACGTGTCACTGGCATGGAGGATGGTTTTTTTAGCCAAAAGATTGGTTCGTACCTCCTGTTATTGTGAGTCACTCGCTCGGTGTTTCGTAACTTCGTTTATCCTTTACCGAGATCCTGCCTCCCCTTGCTACTTGCAGAGCCATGTTGCTGATATTCTGCGTTCTATCCGTTATGTTTATGATGGGCCTCTTCTACTTTGTGATCGGCGGTGTGGCATTTAAAGGCGCCTGCTCACCACTTTTTGCACAGAAAGCGGCGCGCCGTGCGCTGCTCGAAGGGCTTAAATCTGGCAGCGATGATGAGCGCAATTTTACGGCTGAGGCGAGGAGTGGTGGCTCCGCCGGGGAAGCGCTCCGAATATCGAAGGTCATCAATGAGTGTGAGGGCGCGAGCATGATATTTAATTATTTGCAAGTGAATCGAATCTATGACATAGACGATCTGGCACGAATAAGCGTGATGAGCCCCATGGAAACTGAACTCAAACTCTTCGAGGATCTGGATCTATCGAACTTCTCGCTGGTCACCGAAGAGGACAAAGAGTTGTACTTGTCGGTGTCGAAACAGGAGATCGGACTTATCCATCACGAACTGTGGTACGATCACCTATGCTTCGAGTATGTGCCCATCGATTTTAATAAGGTTGCTAGTGGTCTAAAGAAATTGGCCCAATCATTGCCCTGGAAAAGCTATCAATCGGCCAAGGCTGCGTTCGCGAACGAATTTATCAATCTATACACATTCTATAGAGCATACGCACCCGTTCTGAACGATAACATCGAGCTATTGGTGGATGTAATTGCAGATGTTGATTCGGCCATTTTATACGAACAATACAACTTTGGTGACACCCTGCGTATCTTATTGAAAAATATTTTAAACACTGAGATTTTTATACGGGACATGGGCCAGAGCTACCTATCGAATATTGGCAAAAATCTAACGGCAGTGGTTAACGAACAAATCAATGACTACATCAAAATGATTGTCTATGAGGCAAAAACCGAAATCGGAAGCTGCCAGCCACTGAGCTACATCTATGAGCGCAGCCTGGATAAGATTTGCAGTGAAATGGTTGATCCCATTGTGAGTATTTATTATTATTATATGTGTACATTTGTATACGTATTTATGCGTATGTGCAGATCGGCTATTGGACGGGCATTGTGCTGTCTGCGTTCCTTCTGATGATCGTCCTCTGTATTGCCCATCGTCTGCAGTGTCTGTACAAGCAGATTCAGTTGATGCCATTCGTGCCTATTAAGGTGACATCGACAAGGTTCGTTATGCGCATAAATTTCAACAAATACAAAGACTTACCCCCTACTCAATCACAGCTGTCCGTTTTGCATTGGTCGATCAGAGAGGCTAGCAGCTGGTGAGCCGGCACAATATTGTTGCTGCAATCTCCCGACGAATGGCGCTGCAGGAACGGCAATTTACGATGTGGAACAGGCGATTGGAGCAACGGCGAATCATCCCAAAACTATCAGGGATTCTGAGTCCAGTACAGACGGAAAGAATAAGTTGGACTAGCAAATGGTAGAGACATGTTCAAACGGAATTTCGAGTGTGTTGCCCTGGCCAGGCCTGGCCTGGCCGAGTGTTACGTTACGGCCCGATCAAAGCCTGTTAAGTGCATATGTGAGTGAGTATTTTGTGACATAGAATAATGACAGCCAGCTGATAAGCTACGCAAAAGCACTTAAAGTACTTGCAAAGGATAAACTTTAAGCGTTTCTTGGAAAGTATTTCTTGCCGCAGCAGCAGCAGTGGGAGTGGCAGTGAAGCCTTAACTGCACAGCTATGCCACCCAACGTTAATTACATTTTTGACGCCAAACAGCTTCGATGGCACAAAGGCAAATAATTAATTACCAAACACCATGGCAGGGTCAACACTTTGTCATCGAATCATGTCACAAAAAACCGAAATAAAAATTCGTGTCATTTGTTAAAGGTTTCCAGGGCGAGAGGAGAGGAGAGGCATGGACTGGACTCAATACTTACTTGAATTCCGAACGCTAATCCTGGCAGCATTAAAAACGCATCAAGCTGATAAAGTCTGCAGCAGAAAATACTCTTGTTCTGGCCACGCTGGCTCTGCTGTTGACATTATCAGGGGCTGATTTATTATCATCCATTGTACTGGGTGGCAGAGAACACTGTAGCTGTAGCAGACTCATTGTAGATATTGTTTCTAGCAACTATCGCAACTGCTCATCGCCGCAGAGTTGTCAAAGGATGGACACTCTCTGGGGCAATGCTCCTGCCAGCACATTTCTACTTAAAGCAATCATAAATATGCAGCTTTCATGGGCTGGGCTCCTGTATTAATCGGCTTCTACTTGTACCCTAATTATTTGTGGTTATCGCAAATCCGTGATTACCTCCTATGGGATTAGGCACAGGCCTGGCTGGGCTCACGTGCCTACCGTAATTCACTTGGCAAAGTTGCTTCCCCTATCGGCGGGGTGTGTGTGTGTGTGTGTCTTATTGTTATGGTTATTATTTAAATTCCTTTGTGTGACGTGTACATTATTACCTGGCTCGTTCTGACTTAAGTCGACATCCTGACAACGTGCTCAGCCTGCGTAAGCAAAGGTGCCAAGTCCTCAGCCATTCCCGTCCTGTTTTCGGGAATGTTTCTTTACGGCTTGACACTGCCTTGACAATTATTATCCGACAGGCAACGGCACCGCCCCGAAGTTGGCCTTAATTGAATGGCAAGTGGTCGCCGCCGCCACCGCGTCCAAAGTGCTCGTTATCATTTCCAAAAAGGCTCCGCTTGGGCACCCCAAATCCCAACTATTAGGAATGTTTTGAAATTTGAAAATCTATGAAAATAGAGTCTGCGATTTGCCCATTACGAGGAACGAGGCACTCAGGCAAATGAAACAATTTCGGATTTTTCTCATCATCATTTATTTTGCTCAATTGTTGAAATTATTTATGACGATTACGTATTCGATACAACTATACAATATCAGAGCTAAACTAATTCTAAGTAAATAGATTTATGTATTTGTAAATGGGGATTCCAAATGCCCTTTGGGTTTCGGCGTGGGGTTTCCAATTTATAATAATTATGAGTATTTATTTATTCTTTTGCTTTTATTGCATATTTTTGGACACGCTTAAAACACGTTTTAATATATGTAATTTTGTTGTATTCATTTGCAGATCTCTGGTGAGTGAGGGAACTCTGATGGGACTTTGATGGTGGTGGGCTGTGGGCTTGGCTGACTTCGAATCCCCATTCCTGGACTTATTTTCAATAGCAAACCGGTAAAGTTTCTTTGGTATCATGATCATTTATGCTTGGCATAGGACACGCTATTTCTAAATATTTACAGAAAACTCTTAAATACATTTTTTTTTTATACAATAGGAAAGATTTCATATTTTAATTTGTTTTTTTTTATTTATTTTTATTTTCATTTGATTTATTTCCTTTTGTCTGAACACCTGAAAATGTCTTTTTCTTTTTGTTGCTGCTGTTGTTATTGTTATGGTTTATTGGTAATGCAGTTGTTGCTGTTAAATTGAGCTACTTAATGGTGCGACTTACAGGGCGGAACCTCTGGAACTCTTAGAGCTGACTTTGAACTTTTGAGCAGCGTTTTGAAAACTTTCCGACAAGTTGACAGATTGGCCACGCCAACACCCCCCCCAAACGCCCGCCACTCGCCAGTTTAAAAAAATAAAAAAACCCAAAATCATCCGAGAACAGCAAAAGGAACAAAATAGCCAAAAAAAAAAAAAGCGAAAAAAGGGAAAATCATCCATCAAGTTTGGTTGAGAAATGAAATACTTTCCAAAGGATATTTAATTAAAATCACCCAAAACTTGATAATAAATAAGGAACAGAAAAAGTTTTGTCAGTGAGGGGTAAAGTGGGCGTATAGTGGGGTGGGTGTTGGCTCCAAAATGATATTGTCCGACAAAAGTTTTGCTGACTAATTTAGTGCAAAATTGAAAGAAATTCGATTGATTGAGCAGAGTGTTCTCTGCACAGCAGATGGCCACAGTGAGGGCAGGGGCTTGCTATTTGGAGGAGTTCAACTAGAAGTAAGAGTAAGAGAGGAAGTAGGAGGAGCAGTAAACACTTAACGCTTATCACAAAGTAACGCAACGCTTGGAGCGCATAGTTTGATGCCTTCACTACGGATACGGATACAGTAACATGTCTTATATTATATTATATTATATTCTATTACATAATATTCGTTTAGATAAAGCCTGATCTCTTTATATACATAACTAGTGGAGTACACCCGGTGAGAATCACTCAAAAGCCCGATGAGACATGTCCCAGCTTCTTGCTGTCCTGCAACGTCCAGTCATAGCCAATGGCCGTATTATTGTTGGTCGCCGAATTGGTGTTCGTCGAGACGGAACGCTGCATATCGCGTGCCGGAAAGTAGACCACCGGACCCGGCGACGGTGCACGATTGCGCTTAATCTTGACCAGACCGGGCGAACCGGACACCTGTGTGAGTCGGACATTGTTCAGCTGAGAGCTGCTGCCGCCACTGGCGCCGCCGCCGACGGGACCGGTTGCCACCAGATAGGTGGTGGTGGTGCTCCGCTGCGTGCCGTGTCGTGAGAAGCGGCCGGACGAACGGTGATTGATGGTGCCATCGCCGTTGTTCGATATGGAGCTCTCGTAGTGTATAAGATCCGGCTGGTCGCGACTCAGGCGTCGCTTGAAAAAAATGAGTAAAAAAATGCGCTTAAATTTCTCCCCAAAAATAATGTAAATGAGAAAGTTGACGCTGCTGTTGATCGTGATCAGCAGATTGGAGAGTTTCGTCAGCTTGTGGTCGATCAGGTTGTAGAACGCCTCGGAGATGTTCAGCACCAGGGGCAGGAAGTTCAGCATGAAGAACACCACCACCACACACAGCAGCATGGTGGCCAGGCCGATCTCCCGCTTCTCGGAGCGCGACAGTCGCTGGCGCTCCCGATTCGCCCGCTTCACCTGCCTGTAGATCAGGCAGTTGAGTATGGCCAGGGTGAGGAAGGGTATGATGTAGTTGATGATCAGGTAGCACCAGTGTATGTAGATGTTGATGTACGCCTGATTCCTGCGCAGACGCGATGGCCGCACACAGTGCAGCACAGTATCGGACTCTGGCAGCTGATAGCTGACCGTCAGCACCTCCCAGAAGCGTGGCATGTTGTACGCCAATGCGAAACCGATGCACACAATGAAGTAGATCTTGGCCCGGCCGTAGGTGCAGAGGGCGCGCGCCCGCAGCGGATGGCAGACGGCCACATAGCGCTCCAGGGTCACCGTAAAGGTCATATAGATGCTCGACGTCTGGGCGATCATGGCGATGGGGAAGACCACCGGCGAGATGAACGGATACACGTTGTTGTAGTAGCCGAAAAAGTGCCCCGTATACGGATAGATCGAGGGAATGCCGAACAGCAGAATCGAGGTGAGGATCAGCACGGTGTCGCAGCGGGCCAGGCCCGTCAGCAGGTAATTGATGCTGGAGCGCATCTGCGGCCGCGACAGGATGATCATCGAGATGACGTTGCCAAGGATGCCGAGCAGGCCGACGATATTGATTAGGACGCCGCACACCCAGAACTCGATGCGATTGTTCTCCAGCAGCGGATTGTAGACCTCCTCGCAGGTGCGCGTCCAGTTCGGCTCCAGGTCAAAGTCCGCATCGTCGTAGTGCGGATAGAGCAGATCCGTTTGCAGATCCGTGTGGTTGGGATGCGTCGTGTAGTTGCCGCTCATCGCTGGCAGCCACTGCTGCACCACCTGCTCGTACAGGGTGGTGGGCACCGTGCTGCCCAGTATGTCGGCCAGCTCATAGCGCACCGCATCCTCGTGGCTCCTGGCCGTTGCTGTGGCCGTAGCCGTGGCCGTGGCACTGGCCAGGAACTCATCCTCGCTGATGGGACCCCAGTCGTAGTCGGTTGGTGGCGGGGGCATCACACCCGGTGCGGGCAGCTCCAGGCGCAGCAGCAGCCGAGCGGCAGCACCGCTCATTACGTGGATGGTCCGCTCCGGCGGCTACTCTCTGCTGTTGTGTGGCGGCACTCTTGCTCGGTTCCTCGTTACTAGAGTGGCGACCTGGTCTGGGGCTTGGGTAACATCGAAGCAGCTAGCCCAAAACTTTTGCCCAAACATCAATCCTGCGGCCACAAGTCGCTGTTATTGTTCCACCTGTCTGTCGCGGGGGTCACTCGCTAGGAGCTTTTAGCCTGCCACTTGGCCCGGTTCCGGGGCCACGCCACGCGTCGCTGACACTTTAAGCTGCAAAATAGGAAGTGAAAAATGGAAGGTCGTTTAGTTCAGGGCCAGAAAGGTACGCCGTAGCTTACGGACTATCGATTTCCAGGCATTAAGGAAAAGGTCTCGACATGCATGCCGTTTTCACGCCAAATGTGTGAGCATATGGCTGGCAGGGTGGCGGGTGTCAATTGCTCTTGGCTATTGTCCGTGTTTAACTGGAAATTCTTGTGGGTAATTTGAGTTAATTATGTTTTAATGAGCCGAGGGTTATTTGGTTACACAATGGCTTTGTAATTGCTTATCCGCCGCAGGCTGCAGATCCTTCTGAGAAGCGGCCAGAGAAACAGCCGCCACATGACATCCGTACCTGACCCCACTTTCGGTCTCGTGTTAATACAAGACAGCGGAGAGCAGAGACAACTCTGAAGGGAACTTTAAAGCCGTCTTTAAACATTACAATTTGATTTATTTGATTATTAAATAAATTTATTAATTAATTGTGGATAAAACATGTAAAATATATACATAAATATATGTATATATAAAATAGAAATATTGCAAGTTATGTATACTTATGTAGAGCAGTGAAACGCACTGTACTATTTCCGTAACATACATCTATAATTTTCTACCCGCAAATACCAATTATCTGCGTGTCAATCTAATCATTTTTCCTGCTGCATGAATCGGTTCAACTTTCAGTACAGAGACACAAGTAAATCAGTGCATAGCCATGGTACATACATAGGTACAATGTACATATATGTAGGTATATCCTTAACAAACCCAACCACAAGCTGCAACACAAATTGTGACAGAAAACCTGTTAGTGCGAGTTTAGTTCACATTTTGCTGTTGCCTGCGTAAAATGCCATCGAAAGTGGCTTTGTTAATTACAAATAAATTGCACAGCTACACAGGAGGAGTATACAATAATCCTTTAATGCAGGGCCTGTACCTGTACCGGTCACACCCTAATAATTTCATTCACTTGCACTCGCAATGTGTGTGTTGTTCATGGCATGACAACAACAAGTGGCAGCTAGTGGCATGGGGCACTAAATCAGTTAAGGATTCGATTCCATGCCATTCCCGACTGCTGGCCATTTGGACATTATTGTGCCACGTGTAAATGTCAGAAATGTCCCACACTCTGCGTGCATTAAGTGTCACATTTTTGACACATCAATCAAGCTTAAGTGGCCGCCCAATACACACAAAAAGCAGACACTCGTAGCATTCCCGCCCACCCCCGCCAACACACACAGAGCGATGCGTTCCGACTGACTGACAAACAAAGATACGGATACGGCCACAGTCCACTGACTGTCGGACTGTGGGAGGATGACACGAACAGGGAGAGGGACAGGGACAGGGACAGGGAGATGGGAGATGGGAGACCGACTGGCCCTTATGGCTTATCAAGTGGGCAAACAAATCGGAGCACAATACATTCACGCATAATACGGTATCTATAGCTAAATGTACACTGAAAGAAACAGGCATTGATGGACAAACGATCCCGTAATATACATATAACTAGGCAGATCCCTCCACCGCCCTACATTCCCTTTCCACATGTCAGCATGAACATTTATTATCCTTATTCGGTCAATGCATAATGAATTCATTAACCGATTCGAATGCCGAATGCCGAATGCCGAAACTGATTCTAATTCTGATTGTGATTGTCATTGTGATTCACCCTGATGTAATTTACGGCCAAGCTAAGCAAAACAAAGCACCGCAATTGTATTTGTGGTTTTGTGCATTTATTCAGGAAACCCCCGCCCCCCCCTCTAACCACAGAAGGAGCTGGAGAGGGTGAGAGGATAACACGTGGCCCAGGTCCCACGTGACGTATGCGTGTTATTGGCGACATTTGCATTTGTTATCTGTGCAGCGGGCAGTAAATTACATTGTGCCCCATTCATGCTGCCACGGTGCTACGGTGCCAGGTTGCATGTTAAGTGGTTAGCGATTTGCGGTCATTGTCCAGCAGAACACGCAACTTTCGACTGCAGGTGCACCAGTGCCAGTGCCAGTGAAAGTTGAACCACCCCAAGTGGTCCACAGGTCCTGTGTCCCGGGTCCCCGGGTACTGGCCCCTGGCTCTGGCTCCTAATGCGATTATCTCAATTAGAGGCGGGCATTGAAATTCTCCTTTTGGACCAACTGTCCCAACAATTATAGCTGCAATTAGTTTTAATGCTTGTGACCCTTTTGCCACTCTTGACGACCTGCACGTGTCCCCATTCGTGTCACACCAGTTACCGCCTCCGCACAGCCGGCTCGAGCATTCATTTTTTTGATGGCCCTGACATTGGTAAATCGCCCACACGACCAGTCCCCAAATTGCTTTTTCCCGGGCCAGGCTGGCTGGCCTGGGCCTCAGTTCTCTCGAATGTAGCCAACAGTTTTACCATTCTGCTGACACCATTTTGATTTGACCCTTTCAGAGGGTATTTCGACTTTGAAACGGAGGTTTTTGGCATAGAGAAGCAAGCGGAAAGATACAGAGATATCTGTAAGGGTATCTTAAGTATCGGCCTTTGCATTGAGCCTTCCGTTTCCTTCCGTTCTGTTTTTTTTGTCTGCTTTTGTTTGTTGCATTGCCATGCGTTTTTTCTGCTGCACTTTCTTTTGGTTGAACTTTTTCACTGCCATGCTAGCAAACCAAAAAACATCAAAGAATATTTCGAATGTTTCGGGCTCGGCTCAGACGACTATGAAATATTCTTTCTTGCGGTCTATCCAGCATTAACCCAACATTGAATGGTTGACATCCTCAATATCCAGTTGGGTATGCGCAGTGCGCTCTCTCTCTCTCTCTCTCTGCCTGACTGGCTTTCCACTAACACAGCACAGATTACGTGGCTCAAATGTCACAACTCAACTGAAGTATAGATGGGCTAAAGCGGGGTACACTCGACACTCAACAGCAACTAAAAAAAAAACCAAAGTGTAACCCTTTAAGCCCAACAAAAACCACACACACCACAGCTGACTTGAGTTGTGTGAACTCTGGTTAAACCAAACATTTTTTATCCGCCGCATTTAAGGTTTAAAACGGTTTCATACACGGTATTCAAAGCATTCAAAGGGGTATATTCAATGGGAAATAAACTTTGTAATGGGCATCTGCCTATTAGAGAGAGTCTCTTCTGGGATTATAGGTCTATGGATATCCGATTTAACTACTTTTGAAGCTTACAGAAATCCCATTGTTCAGATAATTATTATTGCTAGAATAATGAGGAAAATGTAGAGTAAGTGAAATCTTTTCTTGGCACTGCCTCTGTCCCTCCTACTTCCCTTATTTTCTGCTTGCCAGAAATAATCAGCTTAGATAGTTCTCGGCTATCAGGCATGGTAATCTTCTAGTCGAAATGTCAATTGTAACCTTCCTGTAACGTGTTCCCTTTTTTTTCCCCAAGGCCAGCACTTGAATTTTGATTGTTCAAACAATTAAAGGGAATGTGCAGCATTAAATGTGCAATTTTAAATGCGAATGTTATTTACAGCTAATTTGGATTTTTGTGGAATGGAGCCACATGTTGTGCGACAAATACTCGTAGTTTCAATTAATGTTTTTAAACTTAATTATATAGAAAGCAATTTGCACGTGGAATTTGTTTTTGTGTGTTGTGTTCTGCTCTGTTTATTTAGTTTGTTTAATTGTTAGATTGTTAGCTTTTATGCTTTCTAGCGAATTGCATTTTGGATGGTTTGTCGGTCCAACCAGGCGCCAACTTGTCTAGATGTCGTTGTCTTTGCCCGCCCTCTGTTATTTGTGGATGGGTTTTCATTTTTGGCATTCGCCTGGTGCTGTATTTCCGCTCTACATTTTTCCATATTCCCTTTTTTCTTGTCTCTCATGAATTGTATTTCAGATTGAAAAGGGATATGTTTGTGTGGGGGTAGATTATTGATTTTGTACTGCAGCTGGCAATAATCAATTAGAGGATCTATAAATTATAATACATATTGCTTCCCCTCTGTATGGTAAATATCACTGCTTGCCTGGCATTTATTCTTAAATTTATTTCATTAAAGCAGCTTAAGTATATTAACTTATTCCATTGTGATTCCATGTGCCAACGGAATTTATTCTTATATGTATTTAGATATATAGACTTTCGATTCAGACACACGCGAAAACGTTGCCAGACAAGACACAGAAAGAGAGAGAGAGAGACGAGAGATGAACATGCGGTTGAGCATATAATGCCAGATAAAACATAGCCGTATAAAAGTGGTGGAATCTTGTTGGCCGAACCCAAATGAAAACACACACAAAATTATAATTATTATACTTGTAGGCATGCGGCCAGGCCAGAGACAGAGATGGAGACTGCGGTTGAGAGAGAGAAAAGCAAGCTCTTTGCGATTTATTTTTAGTTGACAGTTTCAAGGCTTTTGCTTTTGCGCGGCGGAACATAACGAAAATGAAAAGAAATGCGACTTTTGCCAGGGACCAATGATGGGGGGAATGGGATGGGTTGGGTTGGGTTGGGCTGGGATGTCCCGACTGGGACTATTAGTTTGAGTTCCTGTTTGTTGCCGCTTTTGTGGCCGGCTGTCATTTACATATTTCTGTTGCAATTTAGATTTCAATGAGCGCATCCAGCGCTAGTCCGGCTCCATTTAGGCTCCTAATTGTAGGCCTTGTTTGTCGGCATTTGATTGTTCACTGGCTCCAGGTGCTGCTGTGCTCTTGGTACTTTGGTACATAAAAGCCAGCCTAGCTAGCCTAATTTATAGCTTAATGGGATGTTCTATTCCATTTAATAGCCCTGAATGCTGCGTTTAGGGTAAATAATCGCTGCATTGTTTGTTGCCAGCAAAGTACTCGTGCCACACGGCGTATACTTAATCATTCCCACATTAAGTAGCAAACAGAAGGCAGAATACTCGCATGTAGGTTGCAAGACAAGGCCAAGCCCACAAAGATGTGGCTGCCCCCCCCCCCCAAAGTACCTGGATATTCTCAGTCCCTGATATCTGTTTGCAACCTCATGTATCCCTGCCGCCCGCCTCCTAGAGTACCGTGCATGCAAATGAACCAAGAGTTTAGCTAATTAATATGCAGTTTGTGGCCAAGAACACATTTATATCTGAATGTGTGTGTGAGTCATTTTTAAAGGCAGCACCTGAGCGTGGGCCAAAACATTTTGCCGAATTCTATGCAAATTCTTCTGAGAAATTAGTTATGGCAAAGGAAAACGAAAATGTAAGAAATAGCCTCAGCTTATGGAAAAACTTACTTACATATGTGGGCTTGAGCGGGAAAGAGATAAAAAGAAAAAGGAAATCTTCACCATATTTGTGAAAGAAAACTAAAACCTAAAGAAATGCAATTTTCAAAAGTGTTTGCTTTAACTCTATTTATTTACTTTTCATTTATTTATTTTCAGATACTTTTGCTTTCACTTGGAACGGCATCTTATAGGGCAACAACTGGAACGTATTCTCGGTACAAAGAAGCAAAATCGATATTCTCTATGAAAATGCCTTTGACAGAAAACTTTCGCGAATTTCAATTTTGTTGCCATAATGGAAAATCCCTTTGAAATTCATGCCAAGTTAATGCTTAAGCGCTGGAATATTGTCTGCGAAATTATCTTCAACAAAGTAGTAGCAAAGGAAGTTGAAAATTTATACTAAATACTACAAGTACTCCAAGGATTCTCCCAACAGTTTGAAGCGCTAAAAGCCCATATATGGATGTGCAATAATTAATTATTTGCCTTAAATACAATTTCACACAGTGAGTACAACAAATTAGTTTCCAATTCAGTTCAATAAGCTCTGCAAAAAAATTCGTGCTGGGAGTAATTATTATTTTGTTTATTTTCCATAATTTTTGATTTGAATATATAATTACTTTCCGTCTGGCCCGCATTTTGTGTGCATTTTATATCCTTTAAATGTCTGCCACACGCCTCTAATGGGTTCTGTTGTGTAGGGGAGGGTAGGTCATTAAACGATCAAGTGATAAGAGCTTTTGAACCTTGCTGCTAATTGCATGGATGCTGTAGTGAGCCCATGCACGTACTGTATATAGAAATACATATATAGGCGCGTACATAAGCGCAGTGACATAAAATAATGTTTTTGTTACACATTCCTTTGCAACAGCAACGATCTGTAATCAGCTACCAAAACTGCTGATCAGGCATTTGCCCAAACTCAGCCAGAACCCAAACGCCCTCACACTGTGGCGATGGGTCTCCTCTCCCTCTCAACAAGCCGCTCAATGCTGATCCATTGGAGTCAGTGAACTCTCTTTCTGCGATGCACATAGACAAGAACAATTGTACCCCAGGCTAAGAACAGAAATATATTCAATGAACATTCCCAATCAAGCGACCAAACTGAGTGGCCTTGTCTCACTATGGACTTCTAACATTACAATGGATTCATTAGGCATTCGTTGCCTACATCTTGCGGTCAATACATTTGGTGTTTTTGGAAAGATTAACTCCATGGCGGACATACCATACAGGATATCCTTACCACTCCCAAAAGCAGCAGAAAACCACAGAGAGAGCCATGGCCATAAATAGGAAATAGCCATGCCAATCTTCTCTCCAGCTGGATTGACATAATTGTAGGTCTAGCGAAAGCCCCTCTGCGTGTTGGTAATTAATTAATTATATCAATTATTTCCTCAACTCAATGTGTTCATTAATAGAGAGAAAATAGTTGAATATTTCTGATAATTTCCAACACATAAATTATTTTAATTACCAATCATTTGATACAAGTAAGACATAACCCTCGCTAAAAATAATAGCCAGTGTCGAAGTTAACACACTTTCAAGGAAATATGTACTTTTGCTTATACTTATGCATCGATTAATGTCAGAGCACAGTTACACATCCAAAGGATGAGACGCCGAAGTTCTACTTCTTTTCTCCCATCAATAAGTCCAATAAAAATGTCTTTGTGAAATGTTGCTGTCAACAAGCCTTAAGGGAGGCATCCCACCAGCAATAAATTAATCTTTTTAATATTCAACATTCTTATCGACATGAAAATCGTGATGATTTTTCCCCACAAATGTCAGACCCAATCCCAATCCCAATCCCGAAGCCCAACCCCAACCCCAGTCGCAATCCAAGGCCTGTCTCACGGATGATAATAAAAACAGACACTTGACAATTTTACTTTCCTTTCTTATGGGAAAAGTCATTTTTTTATGACATGTTTTCTGCTGTTGTTGTTGATTTGTGTTGTGTGTGTGTGTGTGTGTGTGTGTGTGCTTACTGTAATAATCTTATTAAGATTTATTTGCTTACCTTGGGGAATTTAATTTGCAGTGCGTGCGAACGCGTGGAATATCACCCAAAAAAATGGGAAACGCGTACTCCCCGAAATCCTCAACTCATTTGCATATAAACGTATTGGAGGGGGAAGTGTCGACACTCAATGCCAAGGAGACTGTGCAGTTCGATGGGGTTAATTATATTTGGAGACACAAACATACATATGTCACATACGTCACTCGGCCAGAAATGATCTATGATCACGATTCGATTCTGGCTGTGAATTTTCAGAGGTGTTGCGGGGGGGCTAATTTAACAATTTGTTTTCACATTTCACTGGGAATTCTTTTCGGGGGGAGCTTTTTATTTGTGTTGTGCTCTCGCTCGCTTACACTCGGGGCGGAATATACTTAATATATTTATTTATAAATTTCAATACACTCCCCGGCTACACTTTCAAACAACTTTCGATCTGCGTGGCCAATGGCAATGGCAATGGGGGAATATAATCAACAAATTATCGGGATGAATGAGCATATCTACAGGGAGAGTTTCAGGGGAGATAACACTGCACTTTCACTCTCATTGGGCCACTTTCTCTGTGCTATATATTCTCTCACTTTTCTACAGATACCATATATCTCTCTCCTCAATATATATATTTCTCTGGTGTATTTCTCTCTCTTTTCTTTATGCCAGGTGATATTTTTAAACAGAACGTTTTCGTTTTTGAATCCAAATCCGTTTACCGATTCCGTACCGTTTTAGAACCCCGTCAGAGCGCACACTGTGAATGCTGAAAGCCAACTGTGTGCCGCCAGCCGAAAGCCAAATTCCGCCAGAATTTGCGGCAGCTCTTGGGCAACAATGTTGCCTCTTCGACAGCGGCGGTGGCGGCGGCAGGATAGGCGGCAACATTGTTGCTAACGAGCATGCGCCCGCCCCAATGCTGCCAGCGTTGGCATTGCCCCACAGCCCCCCACAGCTGATTCCTGGCACTATTCATTCATAAACGCTGGCGTCTGGCGCCACTATTACTGCAACCTGCATGTTGCTGCAACACAGCCATGCGGAATGGGGAATGATAGTGGCAAGCGGCAGCGGCTGTGGCGGGGGCGGGGGTGGGTCTAGTGGGGCAATAGTGAAAGCATTCGGACTATTTATAAGGCAAAGTAAATGCCAACGGGGCGAACAATCAAGTTTTATACTCTCCATAATGACCACAGGCGCAGCGGACGACCCACTTTGAGCAATTGAAGTACGCCCGACCCGCAGATACTTAGATATATTTCGGTTCGATTGCGGAAGTGCACAACTAAACATGGAGCAGGGGGTTGGGGGACGGTGTGTTGCAAGGTAATAGAAATTTACTCTTTGTGCGCACTGCCACGCGCCTGGGGAAATTAATTTCACGTTTATTGTTTCGAGTCGGTGTCGGAACTGGTCGACGGATAAGTAAAATGAGTTGAAAAGTTGAGTACTACAAACTCTAAACAGTTCTGTGGTTTTCCAAGAGTCAAAAGTCATTAGCGGCTTTTCGTTTAATTGATTTTGAATAGCTACCACACAAAACTTTAAGACTTAGAGGGGAAATAAGTTCGAGTATGTCTATTAAAGTTAATAAAACAGTTTGATTTATAGTTATAATTAGTAGCAAAGAAGCTATTTGAAATGAATAAAAATTAAAGTAAATGAAAGGTGAATTCCTGCAGAACTTAAAACATTTACTGGGAGCTAGCAGCATTTTCTTTTTAGAGTGAAGCTCAGAACTTTACGAATTATTTTCTTCTCTTTGGGTTCAAGTTAAAACTAAACTCTATAATTACTCGCAAGAATTGTTTACAGGCAACTAGTGCGTATATCCACTGCTAAAGGTGATTATTATAATGATTATTACTATGGATATGCAAGTGCAACTCTCTGCCCAAGTGCTCCTCAATTATGCAACATTTACAAATCATTGAGTCCTGGGTTTGATCTGGCTTGGGACACTGGCATCCGCCTTCATCAACTTTGCTTTCATTCCGCATCAACTGTGGAAGCCCTTAGCGTGCCCGTGCGTTGGCTTTAATTCAATTGAAGCTGCCATTGACGCAATTTCCCATATCCGCACATACATATGTACATATATGTTCCGTTTTTTGGCTTTTCTTTTGGGCTTATACCACCCACTGGATCAGTTTTGTGGCATGTGCGTGAGCTGCTTCGGCTTCTTTTGAGGCGCCACACAGAGAGAGAGAGAGAGACAACGCGGAGGATTACTCCATGTTGATTTATTTTCTCTTTGAATTCAGTTTTTCCTGTGATTGTCAGTGCGGTATCCCAGGGCTTCTTCAGAATTCGTATTTTTTTTTGTAATATTTTCATTTCTCAATCGCAAAATGTCATTCAGTCAGTCAGTTTTCTTTGCGGTTGCAATAACTTCTGAAAGTATCCTTTGCTTTCTTGGGGCTTGTCAATCAGTTGCAATTTAAGCAAACTTTTCACCACAGAAGGATGCTGGCTAAGAGAATTAATCACCGAGACATTTCCACTTGACTGGGCTGCTCCTTGCTCCCAGCTGGACTCACTGGAATCGCGCCATTACACAACAGAAAACGCTGCCAGGACAGACCGGAGTACTGATCAGAGACCAGAAACCAGAAACCAGGAGAGCGCAGAGCGGAGTGACTGTCGATTTATTGGCAGCACCACGAAAAACTTAATTCAGCGTCTGTGGCTGTTATCCCGATAGCAAGATTTACGGACGTATTCGTAACATGAGCCCAAAAACCCGAAGCGGATCGACCGGCCCGAAGCTGAGTTATTTGTCCCAGTTGGATTCGGCTTAGAAAATCCGACCCTAGAACCATAACCCCGTCCTGTCCTGTCGCAGCCTGTGAAATTGACTTAAACCCAAATTCCCATAATATTTTCATTTTCGGTTGGGAAAACTGCAAGCCGGAAAATGCAGCAGCAGCAGCTGTCTGAGTGCTGCGACAGCAGAATCATATATAATATTTGCTTTTTGTTCTTTAAACTGAAGCAGCTCACAGCTTGGAAAATCTCGACAGATTCCGGCAGCTAGTTGGCCGGATTTAGCCCCCAACCCCGACACCCAATATAGCCTCCATCCAATGGATTGTCAAGTGGATGGAGCCGCTGCGATGCGCTTTTCGAGAGTGCCAGAGAATGGCAGAAATTGTCATAGCCAAATGTTAGACGCCAGGTGGAAAAGGCAATTGATTTGTCATTGATTTGTCGTTAAACGAAATGGACTTCCTGCATATTTATTTTGGAATCAAACTCCACGATGGAAGGTTTTAATTAATGGCATTAGGAAGCTCACAGTTATCCTTTAAATGTGAGATTGATAGTCAGTAATTAAAGTCACTTATAAGCACTCTGCTAATGGGGTTAAAGAACAGAAGTTAGCCTAATCCTTATGCCATTTGCCGAGGCATATACCTCCCACACCCCTCCAAATTAACAAGATTTAGTGTGAAGCAAGGTAAAAGGCAAGTAAAAGCGCCTTACAAATGCTTCTCTTTCCTCTCAATATCTTTAGGGGCGGGGCGAGCTGCTGGGGGTGGTCAGTCCTCTTCCTTAATCAAACTGCCAGCCAGCCAGTAGAGTAAATACTTTGAATATTCATATGGCATTCCTTTTGTTGATTGAAAGGGTCACCATCACGTCGTTTTGCCAACAAATTGAGTTTTAAAATTCCATTTGATTGATAATTTCTTTTCAATTTATTCCTGCCACGCCCCGTTGCCGACTGGTGCCTGGTGCAGTGCCATGACCCCCGCCAACTGCTCCATCATTGTCGCCAACTCCTGCCACTGCCTCTGACTCAGCCGTAACCCAAGCCAAGCCAAGCCGCAGTGACCTTTCCGCATGGCTGCTCCAGCCACATCCCCCGAGGTTGGCTACGGTTTCAGTTTCATCCTTAGACTCGCCGTGCCGTGGATGCAATAAATTCCAATTGAAATACAATAAAAAACTTGGCACATCAACAAGAAAAGAAGAATACCAGCATAAAGGCGGAGCCCATAATTAAATGTACATTTTTGTGTCCAATAAACAATAATGCAGCAAATAAATAAACTATTTGCAGTTATAAATCCAGCAACTTCAGCATAGCCTGGCCCCCTTTGCCTTTGTGCTTTTTGCAGCAAATAGTGGGAGATTGGGGGGGTGGGGGAAATTTACATAAAAATGTCTCCAGGGATTTTGGGGGGGTCGACTCCGCGGAGCAACTGCGTCATTGTTTTGCAATGTGTCTGAAAAGTTTCGTTTTTTGCTGCTGCCTCCTCCAGCGACTTGTGCTCGGGCCTTTGCCTTCGGCCGCCATTTTAGTTTTATCAGGACGCCGCGCCGCCATCAACGCCGCTCCTGCCCCAGCCCCAGCCCCAGCCCCCAGACATTAGCACTAATATGCATAAGTATGTATGTCAGAATTATATGTATGTATGTATAATTTTTATGTTTATTACATTCCCCCAACCCAATGCCAAGAGTATAATAAAAGCTAAGGGCGAGGGCTGGGGGCTGGGGCTGTGGCAGGGCTTGATGGTTACCTTGGAAACTCTGTTTATTTTTTGTATTTTATGTGTGTAATGCCGATTTCAATTGCAGAATTTCTTACTGCACCAACTAGTGAAAGTTAAAGGGTTAAAGCGCCTTAAACAAATATCTCCAATACACTCCGCTTGCCAACGCAATCGATTTTCAGCCCTTACTCATATCAGATTGCTACCCAAGTCAATCAACAAACAAACACTGGGTTCTGCGAATTCCAGGTAAACCAATAACGAGTGACTCGTGCCTCGTGCCACATTCAAATTACGAAACGCTGCCAACGCTGCTTGACCCAAAATACAAGCTGCAATTGCCCTGGACCACGACCATCCTATCCATCCGTAAGTACGCGCTGAAGGCTGTGTGGGTTTGCCCGGTTGCTGTCGACACCCACCATACAGCCACCCACTGCCGTTTTTGGCCAAAGGCGTCGCATCGCGTCGGTCGCCGCTTATCAACTGGCCAAATGACAGTTTTATGATTTCGGCTGCTGCTTATCAACTTCACTGATGGCCGCGGTAGCGGCTGTGGATGTGGATGTGGCTGTGGCTGGCTGCGTTGCCAGTGCATTATGTTGCGAACTCTGGTGGCTAATCAAAAAGAGCTTACTACCTTGTTGTGACCAAATCCTTTGGGACACTCCCACGGTGCACACAGTAGAGATAGCCGCGGGGGCAGCCGCAGAACAGCAGCAGAGCAGCAGCAAAAGCAGGAAACGGATGCGAACCAAGTGCCTGGCCTGGCTCTGGTATTTTGCGTGCTCGGTTTACTCGGCGCGTGCGTGTCCTTTGACGTCCGCCAAGTTGGCCATAAATCAGCCGCAACTTTTGACGGAAATTCAAGACCTCAGGAGCCCGGACCAGCCAGACACGGGTTCCATGCGATGGCACTGAGAAGACCGGCAGCCAGGCGGCAAGCCGACTTCAAGGCGGCAAACTGAAATGAGCTGGAAAGGACAGATTTAAGCAGGTTTCGCTGAGAAGTTTGTGGAAGTTTTAAAGTTTTTTGTATTCAAAATATTATATTTAATATTGTTTCGATCTAGGCGGTTGAATTTATTCACTTCATGGCTAGGGGCTAAGGGAATCTTTCACGTTTCCATAGAATTTTTACTTCCGGCTGTTCTCTCTATCCACATAACGTGGCATCTTAGGTCGTGCCTTTTTTAGGGATCACAGAGCAAAGTTTCTCTGGAAAAATAATAAAGCACACCAGAAGGAGGAAATCAATAATTTATATCAATGTTTTCCTGGGCATTTTCTAACATATGTAGTACGAGTGTTGGTGGCGATCCCCCTCCCCACACATGCCAACAAATATGCACATAAATAAATAAAATAAACTTCGAGAGTGTTGCCGTTGCTGCCCCACAGCACAGACACAGACACAGAGTTCAAGCCGAATTTGACCAATTGGCAAGTGTATGTTTTTTTTCGAGCTTTCTTTGCTTCCATTCTGGCTTTGCTTACCTTTGTGTGGCCAGTGCCTGGACAGGGCTTGGCTAGCTCCTGGCCCATTGTTGTATTGTTGCGTGGACTGTGATTTAACAAACCCCCGCAAAGAAAGAAAACCCAAAAGACCGAAACCGTTTTCGAGTAGAGAAATCAGCACCTACTCAGCGGCACGAGCTGAAAGGAATCACCCACTGGGAGGTAGGAACTTCGAGCTTGGCCTTCCACCTCAGAGTTGGCAGTGGAAATATTCAGCTAGCGGATGTTGTGCGCAACCAGCCGAGTCATGACATTTGCATAACAAATTCCAAAATTCCATTCAGAGCTCCCGGATGCCCCCCGGCGGCGGGTGTGCAGGAAACATGTTTATTTTAGATCATTTCATTCGCATTCGCATTCGAATTACTTACCATTCAGCGACTCCATCGTAATTTCGGATATGTGTCAAAAATATCCAAAACTCAACCATTTGTGCTTCATTATTCAATCATTTGTTGCCGCATCCCCGTAGAATGTGGGGGATTTTAAGCCAGGAGCAACATAGGTTTGAGGCCAACCCCCAATGAGGTGAGGAATCAATGGAACGCTGTGCCGGAGGGGCGGCTGATTGGTAGGACTGTGGAGGCTGTGGGGTCTGTGCGGTCTGTGGGTGTGTTCATCTTGTCGAATCATAGCGAGTACCAACGACACAAAAGTACCATACCATTTAACAGTGGATTGATAAATGAAACCTCAGTGAAAAATGTCATTTGAATTTTATTAATATTATTTAATGTATTGAAAAATCTTTTTAATACGTCCCATATTGAAGCTTAATATAAAACATTTGCCAATAAATATAATAAGTTTAATTTGTAGCTTAATATGTTCAATTTGATATTAGAAATATTTATTTTAAATGCGAAATTCATTTTCATATAATTTCTGAGCTTTTTTTCTCAGCAAATTCAGATTACTGAGTGCCCAATATAGATTGTAGGCAGATTGCAATAAATATAATGTGAGCTAAAAGAAAATATGGCATTGAAATAGCACCCAATCCGATGAGTTCCAAAGCGTTCAAGGAGCGTGCTGTTTTAACACAACCTTCAGAGGATTAGTTCCACTGTGCCTGTCGTTTTGGTTTATAGGCAACACCCTAACGGTGACTACAAAACCAAATGACTTACGGGGGTTTTCCTACAGATTTTTTGTGTGCCTGTAACCGAATAATTTGCCAGTCGAGCGAGTGGCGGGGCTTTGAAGTCGAGACGCTGCTGGCTCATGGCATGGGCACATATGAATTTAAATACTCGAAGTCTGCTGTAATTTGTTTATTTGCTCTGGGTGATTCATTTTTTGTTTTGGTTAGAGACAGACTGACTGGCGCGAGCTCCTTGCTTCCTGTCGCATACGTGACAGGATCTGCTGAGTGGGTGGGGGTTGTCAGTGCAAAGTCTGGGTCTGGGTGAAGGGGCAGGCGCAGTCAAAGATGTTAATTCAATTAACTGCGAAAAGGCTCAGGTGCTCAGGTGCTTAGGTGCCTCACGTAAAGCTTGTGGCTGCCTGCAGCTTGACACGGGTCAGCAATCAGGTGACAGTTTTTGGGGTCTCCTTGCCACCTAAGCTTTTTCTGGGTGTACGGGTCCTTGGCGCGTGCTCTAGTCAACGTGCTCCTTTTTGGTGAGATCCTCAGCCTTGGCCATGATTTCCAGGCGCAGCTCGTCGAAGGATCGCAACAGACACACCGGCACCTGCTCGTCCTTGCCCTGAAACAGTGTCTCACCCTCAAAGGCGACATAGCCCTGCCTGCGAGCCGCCAGCAGTGTGCCCATCAGCTTCTCCGAAATGCTGGTGTAACGCTCAAAGAGCTCGCCAAAGGACAGGCCCATCTGTCCCGTCTTGGGGCTGGGCTGGCCCAACTTGTGGATCTCCTCGCACAGCTGCAGCACTTCCTGCAGCGCCTGGGCATGGGCCAGCTGCGACCTCTGCTCCGATCTGCTGCCCGCGGGCGCGTGTCCATAATCCTCCTGGCGGATCAAGCGCTTGGGCATCTCCCGGACGGTGTAGTGGGCAAAGGGATTGATGACCATCCAGTTCTGGTGCTCCTCCGCCCGCTTATTGAACAGAGTGATGCGCGACGAGACCGAAGTCTCCTGCAAAGGTAAATCAACTGTCATCCCAGAGTGATTACCAGAGAATCGCATCTGATCTTACCTCTTCAAAGCTGACCTGTTTGGCTGACATTATTTGTATGGTGAATTTTTATGGTGAATTTTTATGATGAATTTTGATTGCGAATTTGGTCTATTGCGTGTGTCGAAAATGTTCAGTTACAACATAATTTCGAAACAAATACAGATTACAAAATACCGAATACAGAATACAGACTAGAGCCAGAGCCAGAGCCTGCTACATGTGGCAGCTCAAGCCAATCAATGCCATCGCATTAGCGTGGGATTTGCATTAGGCAAAAGAGCGCGACTTTGCCCAGTCAGGGATAATCAATCAGAGTGGCTGCCCCCCCTCCTCCGCGAAAACCACCGCTGCCTGTCGCTGCCACAGTGGCAGCCATGTGGCAAATGCGGCGGAAACAGCTCACCAACTAGCTCCATAAATTTAAGCCACGAATGGCGCGCAAGCTGCCGGAAGTATTTCGAGCTACTCGCTCACTGCAACCGGAAATACAAAACAAATTTCCCAGAGACACACACACACACACACAGAAAGAAACTTGCTAACCAGTGCACTATGGTCCCAACAACCACTTTTGTTGGCCATAATAACAAACGAAACAGCAAATTAGTCGTATCGATATATAATCATAGAGTCAAAAGGGTGTGGCACCGCCTTTGATAATGCATATAAAAAATAGTTAATGATAGGGATAGGAAGTAATTATAACAGTTTTATAAGAAATTAGTTTAACTAATTTTATTAAAATTATAAAGGCGTGGCACGCATAAAAACAACACAAATTTTGTTTGAAAACAAAAAATTTTTGTAATTGTCCACCTAGGAAACCCTTGTGTCAGGGTGGAAAACGCTTTTCCAGGGTGCTCGTTGGGTCAGAAAGTTGCGGTCACTGGGTCTGTACAGTCTCGAATCAATTAAGCCTCTCTGGCATTCAACTATGTTAGCACAAAAAAGAACGCCAAACAACTCTGTATTGTTGATTTGAGGTTATATTCTACTAATGAAAATTTTAAGTTTGTGGTCAAATGTGGTATTCTTACTATATACATTCAACAAGATTTATTAATCTACATCACACAATAGTTTCAAGGTGGGACTAGGTGGGACTCACTAAATATACGTTTCAAAAATCGTTTCAATCAAAATTGGCTAAAAAAAGGACTCATTTTAACCTAAAAGTACTAAGACATCACAACTACGAGTACAGTTAACAATACAAAACACGTAGTAAAAACCCAACAATTAAGATTCAATCAAAAATTTGTCGGTTAATCGTATTAATTATGGGTTTAAACTGTAATTAAATTGCCACTTTCACTGCGCGTGCTATTCAGCAGACGCTGGGTTGCACAGCTGATTGGATGTGGCACCATCTATGGACATTTCTGGTACGCAACTATAAGCTCACTCTAATACAGGTGATCAAAACCAGGGTTATTTTTTAACTTGAAATGGGTGGCCAACAAAAGTGGTCTGGGACCATAGTGCAGTGGGGAGATGCAGAGGGAGGAGTGTTCAAGAAATTAATGAAACAAAACGAGAAATTGTAAGCCAAAACATAATGAAAAGAGCTCCGGCAAAAGAACGAGCGAGTCGAAACTTTGATGTGCTTCTTTCTTCTGTTGTGTTCTTGTTTTTTTGTGTGGAAATTGCGTGGAAAACTTGAGTGTGAAGATTGTAACTTGCAGGAAAATGATGCCAATGCTTGAGAAAAGTTTTTTCATTCATTAACTTATAACTGTGCAAATGATATGAAGCATTTCAAAAATAAACTAAAGATGAAAGAAAATACTTGAAACTTTGAAATTGAAATTAAAACAGAAATGAAACTTAATTGTTCTTAATGATAACTTGAAAATTCAGTCAATTTATTTTCTCCAGAGTAAGAGAATATTAAATAGAACAAACAGAAGGAAAAAGAAGTACGTTTAATAAGTATATGCGGCTCTACGGAATAATATGTTAAATAACTGCAGCTGAAAATATATGAAACTTAGCTTCAAAGCTACTACTAAACTTTCTTTAAATGCCCGTCGCTACTTTTTCCACAGATTCAGCTGCAAATAGAGCTCGAAATGCCTTAACATAAGCCATAGCATAATTATTATTCTTTTCCTGCTGATAGCCACCACTTAAGTTCCATACCCAAATCTCTTAATCCAATTATATCGATTCGGAGTGGACAAACCAATAGTTTCGCCAACTGAGCCTTCGGGCAGGACACACACTCTGCGAAGGGTATTCCAGACCGTATTCCGGCACTTTCTCCGTTTGCTCCGTTTGCTCCGCTGCCCTGCGCTGCAGAGCTGAAAAATGGCAAAATGGCGCCACTTCCACATCCGTTGGAGCAATAAACATTAATGCGCAATTAATGCTGGGTGTCTGTCTCGAATCCCCCATTCCACCGGATTACTTTGGCTTTGGGGTTCCCCCGATCCATGCTGGTGCCGTGGTAGTCCCTCTGCTCTCTGCTGTCTGCTGTTGATTTTCTCAACTTGCTGTGATTAACGTTTGGCGCCCTGTCCTGCCCTGCCCTGTCCTGTCTTATGGCCATTGGCATTGGTGTGACAAATGAAATCAAGTGGGTTGTGTGCGGGCAAAGGGCAGAACAATGCAAAGAAGCTTATTTGTTGGCCAAGACAGTGACTAACTTGCCCTTTGATGTTCGTGGAACGTAGGCAGACGGAAGTGAAACTTCTCCATATGGTGTGAGCAGCTTTAAGAGTGGGAGAGTGGGCGAGTGTTGACAGCTTGTTATGCTAAGCCTCGCCAGCTGTTTTGGGAGTGTCAGCATCCTGCCCCTCGCTTCTCGCTCTGGCACTTCCTTACGCTGCCGCTGCCGTTGCATGTTTGCATTTCCCTCGACACATTTCGGGGCCTGCAATTCGTGTTCCTTTCCGCTTTCCGCTTTCCCACACAGCTGCAGATCTGCTGCCACTCGTGTAGGTTGCTGCCACTTAAGATTCGGCAATGTCTGCATATGGCCCTACGTAGTAAATTTATTGCTTGTTTGTGCACCCCTCATTCAATTCGGTTTTCGGTCTGTAATGTAAAACAATTTTCTACAGAAAAGCCAAAAATAAGAAAGAAAGAAAGGCAAGCAACTGTCTCGCTCGAGTGAATTTTATGTGTGGCACGTTTGGCAATAAATTTGTCAGCGGGCGGGCGGGAGGCGGCGTCTGGATTTACAAATGGCTGCTTAATCCTCCATTTGCCATTGAAATGGGCTGGAGATGGATTTATTTGTGTCTGCGGTTAACACCTGTTTTTCGTCTTCCTTCCTGTCTGCCTGTGTTTGTGTGTGTGTCGCTGTGTCTGTGTGTGTGTGTGTGTGTGGTGTGCGGTAATTTGATGGGTTTTTCCTTTTGAGAACACTGCATGCGGTTCTCTGTGGTTATCTGTGGTTTAATGCCCCCAAAGCGCCCCCACACCATGCCCCATAATGTTGACAATGCTTCCTTAACCCTTAACTCTGATACGAGTATCTGTCGCTGCCTTGCTGGCTGTCCGCTCTTTCCCAGTCGGACCTTGTAGAAGTGGTTGCAACATAGTACTGGTTCTTCACTACTTCCCTGGCAGGCTTAGTAGAACCGATTCCACAAAGAATGGTTCTATCATGCATATTTTTGCACAGAAAAATATGGAATGAAACCCAAACCGATTCCCGATCGTTCGTTTTTCACGAAGCGGCCACCTCTATGCCAATAGAACGAGAAGTTCACGCATCGAAAACGTTCGCAGGTAGACGTTTTCGATGCGTGCTTTCCGCTTTATTAGAGGCATAAAAATGTTTTTGAAGACAAATTCGTACCCTCGGTAAAGCGGTAGGACAACAAAAAAATAACAAAAGGGAACATGCAAGAACGCACGCGGTTTTTTCTCGACTTCTTTTATTTCATCACTTGCGTTTTGAAGCCGGTGAAAATTGTGCGTTTATCTGTGCCCTCTGCCAACAATTGTGAAAAAGCTAAACTTAAGTGCCTAAAACCGTTTATTTTACCACGTAAGTATTGGCAGATTGTTTTGGCAGTTCGGCCTGCACCCTAAGAATATTAAAATAAACAATAAATAATGCATAATATACATATTTCTCTTTGAACATGTACATGTACATGAACATAACCTCAACGATGGAATGCGATATACATAAGTTCTTCAAACTAAGGAGAACTAAACGCACTGTAAGTATTAATAGTGGTGTAAATATATGTTGATACAAGTAGAGAGATGTTTCAATGTTCACGATGTTCATGCAGTGAAATTTATTTATGGTGGACCTTGTTCGGATTTTTAATGAACTGATTAGGTGGACATAAACATTAAAAAATTGTATTTGAAATTAATAAAATTTTGCCAAAATTAATAAAACAATAACAAATTTCTTTTTGATAAGGACGGCATTCTCCAAAGGAAAGAATCGCATTTACTCGGTCTCCTGCCTTGAAGGAAACATGCAGCACCGACAGGAACGACGGCAACAACATCCCCGAGAAAACAACAACTACAACCACGACAAGGATTTCCTCATAGACGACGACGGCAATTATTTAATTTTTTTTATTTTAATTTTATTATAATTAATTTTCTTTTATTTTTTTTTCATTTCTTTTTTATCTTTTTTCAGTTTTATTTTTTCTTAAATTTTTTCGTTTTTTTTATTTTTTCTTATTTTTATTATTTTTTGTATTATATTTTAGTAAAGAAAATATTAAATAAATCAAATTCGAAAAAATTTATAGTTTTGTATTTAGGGTTAATCTCGCGATCTTTTAGAACGCTCTTTCATGCATGCATGCATGCATGTCATACCTTCTCAAGGAACGGTTCTTGAAACATTCCAGGAATGTGATAAGGAATGATTGCATTGGAACAGTTCCAGAACGGTTCTTAATAGGTTCCTATGGAACGATTCTCGATGCATGCCAAATATGTGTTCTGTAATGCTTCTTTCGGAAAGTAAAACTGGAAGCGAAACCCGAGCGTTTCACGAAGTTGAAATTACAACAACCACCAGTTCCCAATGCGTTCTAAAGGAACGGTTCCTACCTACTTCCAAATGTACCGGTGCTGGCGTGTTTCACCCTGTGTAATTTGGAAACCAAAACGTCATGTATAAATCACTGGTGCTTGCAGGAAAAAGAACCGCTCTAGAAGTGCTTCTTGGAAGGTATAAAGTCCGACTGGGTTGTTCCTTGTTCTGTGTGTGGTTGTGTGTGGTGTGTGTGTGTGTGTGTGTGTGTGTGTTTGGATAGACAAAGCATTCGCAAACTTGCCTTTCAAAATTTGTGTCATTTATAACCCTTGGCCAAAACGACGAAACGATTTATTTTCGTGATTTCGTTTCGTTTGTCTGGCGCCAGTCAAATTTTGATAAATGAACGCATTTCAGGGCAGAATTTCTAGCTTTTTGCATACTCCACTCCGCACTCCGCACTCCCCATCTATGGGTATTTTGGGGGACATCTGGTCGTTGCATTTTTTCAGCTAAATTTGGCAGATGGCAGATGGTTTTGGCTTTATGGCTTATCGCTGGCCATAATCACAGGCGGCGGGGCGCCATATATGCAGCGGCAGGGGCAGGCGCAAATCAAATCAACGTTTGTCATGACAACAGACAGCTGAATGCTGGATGACCCCTAAACCTAAGCCCAAACTAAAACTACAACCAAAAGCAAATAGAACCACAGCAACAAAAATGCGCCAGCAAGTCAACACGGGAGGGGACACAAAAAACAAATACACAAAAAACAAAAAGCGAAAAGCGTTTTGCCAACGTCAGTGCAAATACCGCAGTGGTTTTTATTGCCTTTTGTTTTTGGGCGGAGTTTCCCCTCCCCCATGCACGAACTTTGTCTTGTGCTCGAAAGTATGCAACAGCCGGCGCCACGAATTCGTCATATGTGTGCGCGTGTATGTATGCGTCTCCCTGTATCTGTGTGTGTGTATGTGTGTGTGTGTATTCCCTAGCTAGTGAAAAATTGCTGGCCTGTCCTCTGTCCCTGTGCCTCTCCGTCCTCATTGATTTGATTGACACTTTTATTGACACATTGCTGTTGCTGTTGCTTGTTGTTGTTGCTGTTGCTGTTGCTTGTTGTTGTTGTTAGCCAGAGTTTTACGACCTGCGAAAGCCTTTAAGCCAATCCACCATTCACGGCCTGGTACACAGCGATTCAATGAGCTGCTGGAACGCTTTCAACGAAACTTTCATCCATTTAAAAATACGAGTACTACGAGTACTACGAGTACAACGAGTATGTGCGCTTTTATCGTCAATTTGAAACTTTACTTTTTAATACTCTTCGTCGCACATCAATCGGAATTAAAGTAAATGCCGTAAAACAACAAAATATATTATTTGCTGACCCCACCAACACACTCAAAAGTGTTCTGCAAAATGTTTTGACCCAGTCGAGTGGAAAATATTTATAATTTGTATGGGCTTTGGGGCTTACTTGGGCTTACTTAAGAAAGTAGAGACACATGGGTTCTGCTTCTAGAAGGTGCTGTAAATTTAAGGCGCAGCACCTGCTAGAGCTTGAAACCTCCTGCCCACATTCCATTGGGTTTTAGCCAGTGCCCCTGCAACTCCTGCAGCTGGAACACCGCACCACAAGAAGCACCGTAGAAGCTAATAAAATGCTGGTCTCACCATGAATTTTCATGGTCGCAGCTCAATGTTTTTTATGCGTGCCACCGGAACAATGGCCTGGGCCAATGAAGGCCACAGCCAGGCCGCCCGAGAGTACCCATAAAATATGACATTTGCTAGCCTTTTGTTAGCATTAATCCATAGTAAAATGTACGCTGGATAAGGGGTCTAGAGGGGAGGCGGAGGGGGCCCTACAATCGCCTGGCAATTAATCAGGCTTAATTTTCACTTAATCGCGGGCATGATTTGCACGCAATTGTTGCCCGCATTTACCAATGGTCCATGGCCTATTACGGGTATATATTTTAGGTATATTTTACTGCACTCGTCTTGCGGCTATTCAATTTTCATTAGCCTGGTCGTGCTGCTGGTCCTGTGGTCCGATGAGGTAATCGACAAGCCGCCAAAATTATATTCGGACGTCGGTCAGTCCGGCGGAAATAAAAACTCATTATAATATGCGCCGCCTGGCAACTGCCATTTGCTCTGGCAATTTATTGTTCTACTTCCCAGTCTCTGGCTCTGGCAACTTAATTACATATTTAAATTCCAACTGTGCGGACTCTCAATGGCGCGCACAAAAAGAGAGAACCACGAGCAGACAGCAGAACAGCAGAAGAGAACCGCGATTGTGGTTGTCATGTTGCGAGCCGTCGTTATGAGAAAGCATAAACAACATGGCGCCAACAAAAACAGGAGGGGAAGTCCAGGCGGGAATAAGAAGTGGAAAATACCCTGTCTAACATATTTGGTCCCCATTGAATATCAAAAATTTCGATGAATGTAGCATATTTAATTGGCAAGCCAAATAAAATTTTTTCACCCTTCAAGGGATCTCTTCAAGGATCTGTGGCTTATAGTACCCCATGACAGGGTATTGAATGTCCAAGGTCAAGCCTATTGAAACTTTTGAGTGGTCGGGCCACTAAAAGAATTTGTCTGAAATCAGAAAGGGCATAATTTAATATTATACAACTCATAAAAGAGGGAAGAATCGAGGCGGGAATTGAAAGTAGTTTCGTAATGTGCAGCAAAATATGACAAATGAAATAAAGTGGAAAAATTATTACAAACAGTTACTGAATAATACAAAAATACTAGCAAGGAATAATAATAATAAAAAATGAGGCATAAAAAAAGGACATGACCAAAATTACAGCAAGAAAAGATTTATAAAAATGAAAGGAAATTCCTATTTAACAGATGAGCAAATGCCAAATGTACAAAATCATATTTTATCTAGATATCTTAGATAATGGATAGCAACGTTTCTTATTTAGTAATAAAAAATTAAACCAAATCTGTTCATTAGTTATATAATTTGATAAAAAGTTTAGTGGTTCAGTTGTTACCAAATAAACCAAAAAAGGATATTAATTCAATTAATTTTACTCACGTCAAAACATGCCAGTTTTATTTCATTTCATTGTAAATAATTCTGTAATTAATTGTTCTTATTGTTTAATATTCTACATTGCATATATTTTTGTTACTATAGAAGTGTGACAAAGTGCAAAAAAGTGCTGCGGGAAATTATACTAAAAATGTAATGGTTTTTTGAGCTTTTCTTTTGTATTCAAAAATTGGAATGGAAAAATTAAATGCCATCAGGTACAGTAGTACATCCTTCCATGTAACAGAATAGTAACTAACTTTCCGCCATCAGTTGTCTGCCTCTCAATTTCAACGAAAAATTCAACGCAGAAACCCCATTAAATAATAGAGTCCTTTCCCCCCTCACCCACAATGGGTAACTTACTGCTTCAATCAGCTTACTCACACATTAATTCTGGGAGGCAGGGAAAGGCTTCCATTTGGCAATCCTCCACCTCCTGAGCAGAGTCCGCTCCACATATGAAATTAGTTGTCTGGCAGGGGCATTACACGCACATTAGGGGTATCCCCCGGGTACCCGCCGGTACCTCATCGCATCTGCATAAATTTTTGAGGTTGGCTGGCTGTCTGTAGGTTTGGAAATGGTTGGCTTTTAGGATTTTCACTGCCTGCAATTTGTGCGCCGCTTTCTGCTCTTTCTGTGCGCGCGGCTTAATTTACGCGGGACGTGGCTCTGCTTGGCTCTGGGGTTCTGTTCCGTTCTGTTCCGTTCCCTATTGATTTATTTAGGCCTAGGCCCCCATTCACGCCCTCTCATAACTGCCTCTTGTCTTTGTGTGTGTGTGTCAGTTTGTCTCTGTTTGTGTGTGTGTGTGTGTTCGTTTGAGTCATTCATTGTTCGCTCACGCATATCGCTGCCTTAACCGCCATTTATGGCCCAGTAGTCTCAAGTCTGGGTTGGCTTTCCCCTGCCTTTGGCTCTGCCTTACGCTATGTTCCGCGTTCCTTCGCATTGATTCATGGTAAATTTATGCAAATTGCCTAGTATTCCGTTTCCCAGGAAGAGACTCCGCCTCCACATTCGCTACATCCACTCCCACTGCTACGTTTGTGTGGGAGCTTCTAAAAATAGAAGCATCCACGCACGTTGATTAGCCCTGGCCCAAAAAAAAAAAACCAAACAAAAAATGTGCGAGTTGGTTTTTGCCTTTCAATTAAATGGTTAATTGCTTGCAGCATTTACAAGCTGCATCAACAAAGCTTCTGTATGGCTTTCGCCTGTGGTCTGGCTGCTGTGGGGGTTAATGGTGTGTGGTTCAAGGAGGACACACAGGACAGGGCAGGGCAGGGCACAGGGGCGTATACGTCATATACATTTTGCACGCATCAATGGCTCTCGGGAATGGCTCGGCAGTTGGCGGTACAAAACTTTTGATTGCTATCGCGGGGTCTCCTCGTGGCTTGGCGGGGGTGTGTGTGTGTGTGTGTGTGTGTGTGTGCTTTTCTGGGATAACAGTTTTTGCTGTTTTGTAGTCGAAAACCCGCACAAGCACACACACACACAATGACAGTGGAAACATGCTGCTTGCCACACAATTTCTTGGCCAGAAGAGCCAGAAATCTGTAAGGCAACTTGATGACGTGGACAACTAGGGGTCTGGGGTCTTGGGTCTGGCATGTGGATCCTTCAAGCTGAAGGTCAACATACTCCACGCTCTTAAGCACTTTATTCAGCTATGTTTGTATGTGTGTGTGTGTGTATGTTTTGTCTGCATGCTTGAGTTTGTGTTTTTTTGTGGTAAACACTGACTCCACTTGGAAAATGGTCGCGTCATTGGTATCCAGCGGATTTCCACAATCTTTGCGGTTGTAAAATCAATTCCCTTTGCACTTACAGTGCTACGTAGCCTTGCTACCCCACACCCCAGTCCACACCCCAGTCCACACCCCGGGCACTGCAACCGAGGGGATGCATTGAGCGATGACTAAATCCATGGCAACAACAGGCGAGTAGAAAATGTCAGACATTCTAGAACTCTGGCAGTAGCGAACCGCTCAAAGCTAAAGCGTAATGTAATTACAACAATGAAATACGAGACACTTGACCCAGATCCCAATCTCCATCTCCATCTCAATCCCAAACCCCCGCCCCTCACGGACAGCCCTCGGAAAACAAGTGACTTCCGCACGTTTGGCCAGCTGAGGCAAGGATATAAAAGGCTTTTCCTTTGCGCCTTTTGTAATATGGTTTCTAATGAAATCCAGAGCAGACCTGCCAGACCTGCAGAAAGAAACCAGTAGAAGCCGGACAATATACGTATGATGAGGTTGGTAAGGGGTGGGGGGGGGGCAGTCAACAGAATTATTGCATGCCTTGCAATATATGTACACGGGACGAGGTCAATGTGTTTTCCCTTTTTTGGTTTATGCCACCCACACCCACTTACAGCAGGCCTTACAGCCAGCCAGCCAGCGCCCGTCCGTTGGCCATAAAGTGGGCTAGCAAACGAGAGTGAAAGAGCCTTTTACGTGCAACACAGCCAGCCACAGACACAGCCATAGCCATAGCCATCCGCACCCATACATACATGTAATGGAAAGTTACGCAGTTGCGAGCGGCTGGCTCCATCATAACTTCTGCTCGGAGCCAGGCCCTGGGGCACCGAGAGCAACTCCCCCCTTTTGGGACACAGCGTCAGACTCAGGCTCTGGCTCAGCCTCAGACATTCGCAATGTTCATAAATCAAATGTTGTTTTGGAGTTGCCCCACAAAAATGTAACTATATATAGATGAAGACGAAAATAAAAGCAGTGGCAGAAGGGGCCAACTGCTGATCGATGTGGGTGTACCCTGGAAACACACACACAAGCACATACACGGAAATGTAGTAGAATTTTCAGTTGTGTCAAATGGGAAAAGTAAACTAAAATAAAAACATAAATTTCCCAAGCGAAAGACACCACATAAACAATGAGCGAGTCAGCTGCCATGAAGCAAAAGATTCTCGCAATGACCGCGGCGCATGTGGATCAGCTATATGTGATGTGGTGCCACATGTTCGATGCGCAGACATGCGAGAATTACCTGCACCAACTAAAGGAACACGCGGAGGCTTTCTACAACGATCTGCTGGCCGAGTCGCGGGAGAAGCAGACCGCCATCGAGAAGGACATTGCCGCACTGCAAGCCGAGGAAAGTCAACTGCATGGACTGCTCCATGGGAGCGTCCATGTCGAAGAGAGACCACAGCATGTGCCGCTGGCTGTGTGGCAGCTGAGGCTGGAGCACAGTGTAGAGCAGCTGCGCGAGGAGCTGCCCAAACGGCGTGCGGAAATTGCCGAGCTGCTGCTGCAGCAGGAGCCACTCTGTCAAGAGTTGGGCGTGCTGCCACTGCCACTGCTGACGGATCCGCTGTCCCTGCCACAGGAGCTGACAGCATTCCGAGAACATCTCGACCAACTGCAAGCCGAGCGCGTGGCACGCACAGAGCTAATGAAGGAGCTACGCCAAAGCATCGAGCAGGAACTGCAGCAGCTGGAGAATGAAGCGGCAGAGCGGCGTTGGCTTAACGAGATAAATCAGGATCTAACGCCAGAGACATTCGAGCGGCTGCGAACGCTGCATCAAAGATTGGCTGATCAGAGGCAGGAGCAGCGCGAACACATCGATGCCATGCGCGAGAAGATCCTTGCGCTGTGGGAACGCCTCCAGGAGACAGACGAACCCACCATGCGCCGTGTGCGCGACGCCACTGAGTACACAGAAGGCACCTGCCGAGTGCTGCAGGAGGAGCTGCAGCGCTGCCAGCTGCTGCTCAGTGGCAACCTGAAGACCATCATCCAGCAGCTGCGTCTGGAGATACACGAGTGGTGGGATCGAACGCTCAAGAGTCGCCAGGAGCGCCTGCGCTTTGCCAGCTACTACACCGATTGGTACAACGAAGAGCTCTTGGAGCTGCACGAGCTGCAGCTGGACGATTTGAAAGGCTTCTATAGCAATCACAAGGGAATCTTCGAGCTGTACGCAAGTCGTGCAAAGCTATTGGCACGCATGGAGGTCTTGGAGGCCAAGTCGAAGGATCCCATGCGGTTTCAGAATCGCGGCGGGCAGCTGCTCAAAGAGGAGAGGGAACGCAGAGATATCACATTCAGGCTGCCCAAAATGGAGCTGCAGATCACTGAACTGGTGCAGGCCTATGAGGTGCAGTGCTGTGGCCCCTTTCTGGTGCATGGCGAGAACATATTGGAGCTGATGGCCGGGCAGCGCATGGCCAGGAATCAGCAAAACTCTGCGCCCAGGAAGACGCCATGCACCAAACTGAAGGCTCCTGCCGCTGCTGGAACACTGTTGAACATGTCCAACGTGTCGTGCCGAAAGCCGCCTGCGACTCCAATTATCAAGAGCACAGGAATTCCTCAAAAGCACAAGCCCCTGCATCCATCGGTCACCAGCGGCTCTGGGCAAAAGGCCATCGGAACGGGCTGCCTGAAGAGCACCTCAAATGGGGCAAACTCTGCCCTGCAGCGGGTGCGATTGGTAACCCCAGGCACACGCACTAAAAAGAATCTTCCGGACAAGTCGCCAATAAAAGAACCTTCAATGGATGTGACGGATGAGAACCAAACCGTGATTGGGGACTCCTTTGGGCAGTTTACGCCATCAAGTCGCTCCTCGCTGCTGCCAGTTTCGCGCAATATTTTGGGTGTCCTCCACAACAACAGCAGCAACAATAGTTCGGTGGCCACAGTGACTGGACAGGAGGCGAAGCAGCAGCCTCGTGGCGGCAAACCATTCAAACTACCCACGCCCCGCAGCAGCCTTATGTGGCTGAAACCCATCCCTAAACATTAATCAAGTTTTTCTCTGTTTTGTTTTTGTTTTTTTTTGGTTTCGTTTTGTTTAATTTTTACTGTTAACAAACTAATGGCACATTGAATATACCCCTTCAACCACACATAGACTACAGGGCATAGGCGCTGAAGGAGTTTTTATTTGTTTATATAAAAAAACAAAACAAAACAAATGGCAACTAAAATTGCATGCATGTTCCATGAGGATTCGCGTACTGCGCCTCGAGGCGCCACCAAACGCGAATTGTGGCGCTTTTGCTTCAGTGAATTGCCAAAGTTTTTGGCGCCAATGTTGAATTTTTGTTTTTTGTGATATGTTGAAAGTATGCAAAAGTTTCGCCCGTTCGGCCATTATACATAGATGGCATTTCCGAATGGGTGCCCCTCAAAAAACCTATTCGATCGTCTCGCTTTGTGATTTGTGGTGAGTCGGGACAATCAAAAGAGCGGCACACGAGCTGTAAATTGAATTAACCTCCCCTCCAGTTCGGGCATCGATGTACACCGACTGCTCGTAAAGGGCACCCTGTAGCGTGTTCCTTCCGCTTCCGTGGTCACACCCAAAAAAAAATGACAACGAAGGGCAGGCAGAGATAGAGAGAGAGAGAGAGAGAGAGATAGATGGAGCTGAAGCTGAAGCCGGGCCCAGATAAAGTCCTGGCAAGTGGCTGAGCGATGGCCTGGGAATGATAATACTCGTAAAAGTGTACCCCAGAAGTAAAGTGGAAATGTAAACACGTATGTACATACATATGTATGTACTACTATGCCGCATGTGTGACGAGACACAATTGACTCGACTCCCCACGGTTGCTGCACAACAATGGCCGAGGCTTGGCATGGCTTTTGAGGCTCAAGTTAATTGTGTTGGCCCCTTGGATGCCTGGCTGGCAGTTGCATGGGGTTAATCGCTTGAACAGGACGGAACAGGAGCGTAGCTGTAGCATGCTCCAATTGCCACATAGTAGATAGCGCACGAGACCATTGTGTGACTGACATGTTAATTAAAATTACTCATACGCCCTTCCCTGCCCTGCCCAGCCAATTGTATCTAAGCACTCGCCGCTCCCTGGCAACATGCCGCCAGGCGTCATGGCACCCAACAAGTGTCTTTGCAGCATGTGGCCAGCCGCAGTGTTGCTGCGCCTGGATGGATGGCAGCAATGTTGCCACGCCGCTCTTTACGGGTTTCTGTTTTGCCGCCCAATCTGACTCATTGACCGCTGAATTTTCTGGCCCACTGCCCAACCCAGCTGGGCGACAGCGAAATCAATCCTCGTATATTTTTTCCTACTCCTCTCCTTCCTTCAATTCTGTCTCTGGTTTTGTTCTGCTTTCACTTCCGCTGCGGACTCATTGAATGTTTGTTAATTTTAATTTTATAAATAATTACCCGCAATTAGAAATGATTTTCCTGCATCTCCTCTCCGCCCATCGGCTCTCGGCTCTGCTGGTGGCATTTATAGAGATTGCTTTTGCTGTTCGCGCCCGAGCAAATGTCCTGGGGCAATATCAATTAACTTGAATGCCAAATGCTTTGTAAATACAGACAAGAGCTGCTCCAAATTGGGTTTCAAGTGCCCTGCCAGCCACCTGTGCAGACATTTTCCCCGAATCGCTCATAAATTGTATGTTAATTACCCGACAACATGCTTAAATACAACACATAAACACAAACACAGGCCCCACACATGCACAAAACGGTATTTGTTAACTTTCATTCTGGAAATCGGTTAACCAAAGGCCCAGGTGCAAAGAAAACAAAAAGAATTCCTAAATATTATTTACATTGTCTTTGCGTGGACCGTGAAAAAATAAAGCTGAGAGATTCATATTCAGAAATGCGTGTGCTCTCTTCTCTATTCTTATCTCTTCCATGCTGAGCCGCTCTTTTCTCTCACATTGCAAATTTGCTTCTTCTTCCCTCTTCTAGCACATGACAGCACACGCTTTACAGTTAGAAAGCAAAGCAACAAGCAAGGAGTGCCTGCCTAGCGTGTCGACGCTCTCTCGTCCCAAGTGTCGCATCGCAGGGTGAGTCATTCCAAATCTTGGTAACCTGACTCTCTCTCTCTCTCGTTGGTTTGCGCGCTTGATCTTCAGTCCGGTTAGGCCTCACCTTACATTAACAAACCCAACATTTTATTTCGAGTTCTTTTGCGTGCGCTGGTGCGTTTGCGTTTTCGCTCCGTAAATCGTTTATTCGTTCGAATCGTCGCGCGTTTAAGTAGTCCTTTTACTTCTTGCGATGTAACCATGGAAAAGGAATCGTCGGCTTCTTATGTGTGTAAAAAAGGAAGAGCAAAATGCAGCAAGGAAAACGTAGCGGCGCTAAAGGTAAGCGAGAGAAGAATATTCCCTTACTGTTTTTTTGTTGTGTACTTCTTGCATGCGTTTTTGTTTCCCTTTGCTCTGCCTCTTATGTAAATGCGGGTGTAGGGTGTCAGGCGAATCTCTTTTGTTGCGTGATGGCTGCTTACAATGTTTTCCCATTAGTAGAGCTCTCTCGATGAGATCATCCTTACTGGTGTCACTGGTGTTGTGCATCGTTGAAATGACTGCCGCAACTCTTCTGAAATCGTTAAAGTTTTGGCCTAGTAAGGACTTAGGGATGCTATGGCATGCACTATAAGCATAAGAAATGGGCGCTCCTTCAAAGGCACCACAAGGAAACCAACCCGTAATTATGGGCAGAATATGTAATACGACTGTCACTGTCTTTGAGTGTAGTGTGACACATGCGTGTATATTTCTCATCTCTTTGGGCAATTGTTATGCCTCAACACGTGCCCCAGCTCCTGTTCAGGCCATTAATTTGTCGAGTGTCATAATTGGGTCGCAGCTTGTAATAGACCAAACTGATTTCCATATTAATTGGTCATTAGGCGAGGTGCGGAAGTGTGCAAGTGTCCGCTCCTTTGTGGAAAGTGCATTAACATGCGGCATGTGGCAGTTGGTTGTTGGCGAAGTGTGTGTGTGTGTTGGTGGGAGGGCGGGAGGTAAGCGGAAAGCTGTTAACTGTTTTGTGGCTTGCGGTCACCTTCACGGCCCCAATGTTGTTGCTGCTGCTGCTTTGGCAACCGCAAATTGAAGTCCCACCAGAGGGAGGGGTGCTAAAAGTGCTAAAATCGCTTCTCATTTTGGTCCAGGAACCAGGCGAACATTTGGCCATAAATCAGTTTGTGGCTAACTTGGGGAAAAGCGTTGGCAAAAAGTTTGTCTGTGGCCTGTCCTGTCGGTGGCAGCAGATGCCAGGGGAGGATTTTAACGAGGCCTAATGGAAACCGCGGGCTAATGAGGCGTACACGCAGCGAAGGTGGACTCGCCGCGGTCCAAGCATAAAATTAAATATTAATATTCAATTAGAAGAATAATTATTGATTCCCTCCCCCACCACCCATTGCAGCAGCGTTGTTCCTTCGTTGTTTGTTGTTTGCTTTTGGTCCAGAATTTCGATGGGATGGACAATGGGAAAGGGTTGATGAAGGGCAGACGATGTACTCAACGTAAAAACAACAAATGCCACCGTGGCGTGTCTCATTGCCGTTTAGTTGGAGCTCATCTGCATGCGATGCACGTCAGGACTTTTTATTACAGCCAGCCACATGTCGCCTGTCCTCGTAGTGAGGCACTCTTGCCACAACTATATACGTAACTAACGTGGTATGATGAGGAGCAGGATGCGGAGCAGGGAACACTTAGATGGACAGACAGTCGAGAGTCTCATTTTTGAATAATTTAATGAGCTGGCTCTCCGTCCGCACTATGTAGTGCCGGCGTATGCGCAATATTAAATCCTGGCGACCGCACATTTATCATGCTCCCATCCACCCACTCACCGTCCCTCAGACAAACACGCCACATGCCACACAGGCCATACAAATCCCACATCCCTTTATGCGGCGTCAGTTTAATATGTTTTTAATTGTCCGCCACTGGCAAGGAGAATCTACTTGACTTTAATGACCTCCATCGGAGTCAGAGTAGGGGTCTCTCCGCATCCTTTTGTGCGAGGAGGATGTGTCTCCGATTTAATTTTTTAATGCCTCTCATTAAGGCCAAAGGCGAAATCGTATATCAGCTTGCAATCTACAGCAGCAGCAACAAAAACAGCCATGGGCGAACCTTTAAGCAAGTTAATTAATTTTTATAGCAGCGAGCAACGAGCGACGAGCATTTTCCGCGACCCGTTTATAAGCGTATGGCCCAAAGGCGGGCAACAAAAAATTTGGCTATAAATCAACTGATAATGTCAGCACATTTAGCGACAGACACTTCCAGCCCTCCTGCAAGGGCCGGGGCTAGGGCAATATTTTGATAAACTTTCGCCATGTTTAGATGCGAGTTCTCGATTGACGTGTGTTCGTTCGTATTCGTATGCGTGAGGGAAGGGGGCACAAATCAAAAGACAACAACTTTTCCACCAGCACAGCACTGACGATAGTTTGGTTCGGTTTCAGAAGGTTCGGGTCGCCCCATCAAGTTTTCTGGGTCAGCATGCGGAAAACCTTTAATCAGCAAGAAACGCCTAATGCATGGGGTTTCCTGCTTTTTCCAGGGAAAACAAGGGGAAGTCACGGCATGACTTCACTCCACTCCACGCCACGCCACTTCGTGTGCAAGTGCTGTGACAATGGAAGGACAAAGTTTGCTTATACAAAAGGGGCTTTCCACTCAAAAAGGGTCGATGCTTTTGTTAGTTTTACTTAGGAAATAAGTCCGTCCGTTCCGTGCCTCAAAGAATAAATACTTAAAGAATTCCTTTTTAGTTTTCTTAGTTTAAAATTGAATTAGTTGTTCATTTTTACATGTTATATGGCCAGGCTTTTCCTTCGATTGGCTAATCTATTATACTATTGAGCCAGAAAAGCTTTAAAAGGCCATGGGAGACACATGGTTCAAATATTTTCAGTCAATATAATCTATAAATTGTAGAGCTTGGAATAACAAATTGCATTTCAGACACAAGAAGGGGCATACATTGTAAAAGCAGCAAAATAAATCTCTTTCTTGGTTTAAAGTTTAAAGCCATATGTATGTGTGGGTGGGGGATGGCGATGGCGATGGGGCAGGGTCTCCTATTTCTTCTCCCTGCTGCCGCTGCCGCTGCTCTCCTTG